AGGGGCGGAGGAATTGAACTTGGGTCGGCCATGTTGGCTGCGTGCAAGGCGAACGCCCTACCACTGTGCTATAGCTCCTAATATGGTTTGCTTAGAATTATCTGAGCCTAGAACCAAACTTTATAGATACTCATTTTCTTAGAACATAGTTATATAAATAAGTGTTTGCTTTCAGAAAGTTAGGAAATTAGACAGTAGGGAGTTGGTGAGAGGTGCCAGGAATCCAACCCTGGGCCTCGTATATATGAAACATTTGCTTGCTGTACCTCTGAGCTACATCCTGGTCTATTCATAATGTTTCTATAATATAACAATATAATAAACAATGTAGCAATGTATCCAAGATGTGGATATAAAAAAATAACAAACAAAAATAACATTAGTCTGCTTGTCACTTCACATAGTCTTACATAGTTTAATGTACCCAAATGTTTCTCTGTTGAAATACATGTAATTTTATGATAAATTGCTGTTTAGCTACAATTAGCAGTTTATATTAATATTTTAAATTCCATTAGGTATGTTAACGCTGAAACTTTGTTTCAGGCAGGATTAGGAGGTATTATAAAATATGATAAAAGAGGATATAAAATACATTGTGATAGTGGGGAAATTCACAGCTGGCCATACTTGTGATTATAATCTCTTATTCTTGGTGTGAATAAATATTTCCATAGTAAAATATATTAAGAAGCGAAGCGGGTATTGAGTCTTATGGGCCGAGAACTGTTATAGAGAAGGAACAGGATTTGAGAGGAATATACAACTAAGGAACTATTACCTAGTCTGGGAGCTTTTGTGGCTCTTCTTCAGCATCTGACACTTGGACTGAGATTCAAAGAGTAAGTAGTTAGCTAGATGAAAGAACTAAAACATTTCAAGGACAGGGACCAGCATGAAAGTGTCATGTGGGAGGGACGTATGTGGGAAGAAATGAAAACCTTGCTTTGTTGGGAGCTTAGAGAGCTGGGGGTGGGGGTGCGGACGGGGGAGTTTTTCTACACAGTATTCAGATCTGTACTCCTTGTTTGTTTTGGGACCAAACCTGGTGCTGCTCAGGGATGCTGGAGTGCTGGGGATCAAACCCAGGTTGGCTGCGTTTGATGGAAGACAAGCATCTTCCCTGCTGTACTATCACCTCCAGCCCCTCCTATCTGTGTTGTTATATAGTACATACCAGCAGTGGGCATAGTTAGTGGACATTGTAAGATCTGTTGATTTTTTTTGTCTTTTTTTCCTTTTTTTGCTCTTTAATAGAGCCTGGCAAGCTCCCCATGGCATATTTGATATGCCAAAAACAGTAACAAGTCTCACAATGGAGACGTTACTGGTGCCCGCTCTAGCAAATCTATGAACACTGGGAAGATAGTGATACAGTGCTACCTTAATAGATTCCCCCAAAGGGCTTTTAACTATAAGGACTGTGGCATAAGGCATGAGCAGGTATGGGAAAGACTTTTCCAGTGTCTAGTTGAGGGGATCATAGAAATGCATGCTTAGATGGAGGTACCACGGAATTGAAGTTAACTGGAATCCTGAGCCACCTGGTGAAAAAACAGCTGCCATGAAGGGTAACCCAGAACCTGTTGATCTTGTCACTAAATATAAGACCTCCCCCTCCCAGTACTCCACTATGGGAGTAAAGGATTCTTCTTTTTTTTTTCCTGGAGGGGAGGGTATCACATCAGTGATGCTTGGGGGTAACTCCTGAACTCTGCACTCATGAATTACTCCTGGTGGTGCTTAGGGGACCACTTGGGATGCTGGAAATTGAACCCAGGATGGCCACATGCAGGGCAAGCACCCTCTGTCCTGCTCCTGAAGATGCTTCTTTGACCTGCTCTACCTTCTTGAGCATTGTCTGAGTTAGGTTAATAAGTCCAGTTCTTTTATGACTCTATTGGCAGAACCTCCTGCAGAGAGCAGTGATTAACAGAAATTAAAACAACTAAAATCACTGGAGAGTGACCACAGACAAGCAGATTTTGGAAGGAAATTGACACATAAGGACCTGAATTGATTAAGGTGGTTTCTTGTTTTTATGGCCCAATATGTGCTAGGTATGAGAGGTTAAAATACCACCGGTGACCTCTTATTCTCTGAGGAACTAAAAGTTAAAGCTCACAGCGACCATTCTTTCCTCCAACAGTTGTTGGAAAGTGAAAGAAGAAATCTGGAAAGTACATACTGAAAGAAGCATCAAACCCTTTGAATAACTTCTACTCAGATCTTGACAGATGGGTGAGCTGTCTGTGTGAGCTGTCGGGTTTCAAGACGTTCAGCAGAGAGTAAAAGAAGTCAATGGAGATTTCATCTGCCCAAAATTATAGGTTGAGTCAAACTAGCTACCTGCTAAAAGAAAAATAAATAAGAACCATCGCTGAAGAGGAATATGTTGGAATCTAAAGACTCTACAACATGACATTATATTTAGGGTTATTGTATTCCAAGGTTACCTAATTAAGCAAAAGATCAGGAAAATCTAACTAAACCTCAAACTAAAAGATAACCCTACAGAGATGGACCTTAGAAAGCTTGTATGGTGAATTAATTGGAAAAGGATTTAAAATAACGATGTTAGTAAAGGAATGTTCTCATGAATGTCCAGCAGGAGACTGTAGAACTGAAGTTATAGTGAAGGGACTAGAGATATTGTAGAGCAGATAGGGTGCCCACCTTGCATGTGGTCAGCCCAGATTCAATCCCCTGAACCCTCTGTGGTCCTCCATGCCCCTCCAGGTATAATGCCTGAACCAGGAGTAAAACATGAGAACTACAGGTGTGACAACACACCCCTCCAAAAAAAAGAAAGAGTGAGCTTCTCTGCTTGGCTAGTTGGTCTCCTAGGGACTCCTTAATTGGCTGGTTTGCACAACCCAGGCCCCTTATCCAGTGTGTGTCATATGATTGCTACTGGGTCAGCCGAAGGCTCAGGTCATTTCCCTTGGTCACTCCTTGAAACTTGGGCTTCTCATAGCATGGTGATTGGGTTCTAACTGTTCAAATATACAAAGATAAAAATTGCAAGATTTCAGGGGGTGGAGCAATAACACAGTGAGTAGGGCTTTTGCCTTGCATGCGGCCGACTTGGGTTTGATTCCCAGCATCCCATATGGTCCCCCAAGCACTGCCAGGAGTAATTCCTGAGTGCTTGAGCTAGGAGTAACCCTTGAGTATCACCAGGTGTGACCCAACAACAACAACAACAAAGATTGCAGGATTTTAAAAAGCATCTTTCTTACACTTATAATTGGTAAAGGTAAAGGTAAAGGCCCTCCCGTTGATCGTTGATTTTCTCGAGCGGGCCCAGTAACGTCTCCATTGGAGACTTTGTTGTTACTGTGTCTGGCATATCGAATACTCTCGGTAGCTTGCCGGGCTCTCCGAGAGGGGCGGAGGAATCGAACTCGGGTCGGCCATGTTGGCCGCTTGTAAGGCGAACGCCCTACCTGCTGTGCTATCGCTCCAGCCCACTTATAATTAATTTTGTTTTTTTTGGGGGGGGGCTTGGGGGGAAGTCACACCTGGCTTTTCTCAGGGCCTTACTCCTAGCACTCCAAGGGTCACTCCTGCCCGTGCTTCGGGGGCGTTAGATTGCTGGGGACCCAAACTGGGCGTCCTACATGCAAAGCACGTGCTCCATCATGTTGAGCTGTCTTTAGAGGCTTGTTGTCAAAAAATCACACGGTCACTTTCACCACATTTTATTTGTCAAAATGTGTTACAGAGGAGGAAAAGTGGACTCTGCTTTTTAATGGGTAGTGACAAGATTATTTTGGGAGGTAATGTTAGGACTATCCATGGAAACCGTTTTCTACAATGCTTTTTTTAAAAAATTTTTATTAGTGAGACACCATGAGGTACAGTTGTAGACTTAAAAATTTTTGTGCTTGGGTTTCAATTATACAATGATCAAGTACCCATCCCTCCACCAGTGCCCATTTCCCACCACCACAAACAATCCCAGTATCCCTCCCACCCCCTGTCCCCCCATCCCACCCTTCCTCTGGCAGGGCATTCCCTTTTGTTCTCTCTTTCCTCTTGGGTGTTGTGGTTTTCAAAAGAGGCTACAATACTTTTATTTTTAAAATTTTATTTTAGTTTGGCTTTTGGGCCACATCTGGCAATGCTTAGGGGTTACTCCTGGCTCTGCACTCAGGAATCAGTCCTTCAGTGCTCAGGGGACCTTATGGGATGCCTGAGATCAAACCTAGGAAAGCTGCATGCAAGACAAGCACCCTACACACTGTACTATCCCTCCAGCCCTCCAAGGTGCTTTTAAAAAAAAATTTAAGCAAGTTAGTAAGGGGTGCAGAAGAAGTGGGTGGTGGTGGGGTGCGTGAAGCACACAAGTTCATTGTTCTCTAGAAGATCTGTGATGAAACAGTCCCTAGTGAAAATGAGACAATGAGCCATGAAAACCAGAAGGACATCTTAAGTATAAAAATACAGAGAGAAAGAACAGAATGTACTGAATGTACAGGGTGGGAGAGTCCCTGGTGAGAAATGAATAGCAAGGAGAGACTGTGGACATGGCAAAGGACTTTGGATTTCCGTGACACGAGACTATTAGAAGAATCTGAGCGAAGGCGATACGTGCTGTGATTTAAAATTTTAAATATCCTGTCCTGGGAAATCCTAGGCTGTTTTGAGAATAGACTGTCAAAGGACAGGAGTGGAAATAGGGAGTCCAATCAGCTGGCCTATACTTTCTGAGATGATTGCTGTGGTCATCTTGTTAGGAAGGTGTTAGGATGGGAGTGTAAAGGTGGGACTGTCAGGATTTGCTGATGTGGGTAGAGGTGTGCTATGAAAGTGGAATCCAAAAACCCAAATTTCATGCCTTTTACCCTGGGCACTTAGAAAAATGGGAAGACTTTGCCCAGAGGGATAGGGCAGAGATGAAGGAGATGCAAGATTTGAATTTGGTGGCTGTATTATGATTAATCTATGATAATTTGGGTGGCAAAAGGTTGCTAAATGTCACTTCCTCCTTCCAGGTGTGACGAGTGCTTCAGATCTGATCACTATGGTACGAGAACGAAAATGCATATTGTGCAACACTGTGTACAGCTCAAAAAAGGTAAAGCTATAAGAAGGGTGGAACCTGAGGCTTTGTGACTGATTGCCTTTTCAGGCATCATATGGAATTTGAGGATGGGTAACTTTACATATTTAATAGTTTTTTTTCCTTTGGCTGGGTTGGTGTGTTTGAACCAGACAGTGCTCAGGAACTGCTCCCAGGACTGTTCAGGGCCATGAGGTTTTGGGACTTGAATGCATACAAGGCATGCAAGGGCTTCGGCCCCTGTAATATCTATCCCCCAAGTCGGAGAGGGGAAACAGAGTTAAACAATATTTTCTACAATTTTTAATTTTTAGTCTCATTCTAAGTTTTTTTGGAAATGATTGCTTCACAAAGCCATTAACTATCTTAGTAAACCTCTATCCAGAATTTGAAGGTAAGAGAGATAGTTAAGAGAAACTTAGGAGTTAGAGAGATAGTACAGCAGGCAGGGTTCTTGCCTTGTACATGACTGACTTGGGTTTGATCCCCAGAACCCCATATGGTCCCCGGAAGCCCACCAGGAGTGATCCCTGAGTACAGAGCCAAGAGCAAGACCTGGAGCACCACTGGGTTTCACCCCAACTCACCTCCCCACCCCCCAAAAAAAGAAATTTAGCCAGTTACATATAGAGAGAATATATGAAATTTAGTTAGTAGTCAGTTACATATATATGTATATATATATGTGTGTGTGTGTATATATATATATATATATTCATACGGGCTGGAGCCATAGCACAGTGATAGGGTGTTTGCCTTGTGCGCAGCCGGCCTGGCCGAGCCGGGTTCGATTCCTCCACCCCTCTCGGAGAGCCCGGCAAGCTATCGAGAGTATCTCGTCTGCACGGTGAAGCCTGACAAGCTACCTGTGATATATTTGATATGCCAAACACAGTAATAGTAAGTCTCACAATGGAGATGTTACTGGGCCCGCTCGAGCAAATTGATGAACAACGGGAGGACCGTGACCGTGATATATTCATACACACGCGCGCACGCGCACACACACACACACACACACACACACACACACACACACACACATATACAGAGAGAGAGCAAGAGGGAGAGGGAGAGAGAATATGATTTATAGTTCAGGTTATTTTCTGTTATACAAGCTTCTGATTAGGGATGCATTTGTTGACATAAACATGCTTTTTTATGTTTTTCCTGTGCCTATGTTTGAGAAATTGTCCGAGGTGACCACAAGGTGGGGATGTTGCTCGATGCAAACTAGACCTTTAAAGGAATTACAAACAACCTGTGTTGTATCTTGGGGAAATTGACTAATTTGTTTCACGTTTTGCTAGTTCTTGATATTGTCCTTTATTTTCAAAATAGTGCTGCTAGTTTTTTAATACTTGAGAATATTTTTCCTTTATATTTTCAAGAATTTTTGATTGTCAACTGGGAAGTCAGAACTGTGGAAGTTACCCTGAGCCAGGATATTATAATGTCAGGGATGTCTAAGTGGACCTTGCAAGAAGTCTGGGTCTGGGGGTTCTAAAATAAATGGAGAGGGGCTAGGGAGGTGGCTCAGAGGACTGGAGCACAGTCTGTGTGCGAGAGCCTTGGTGCAGCATGGTCTCTTGAGCACGACTGGGTGTGACTCAAAATAAGATAACAAACAAATACTGTCTTCCCGTTGTTCATCGATTTGGTCGAGCGGGCCCAGTAATGTCTCCATTTTGAGACTCATTGTTACTGTGTTTGGCATATCGAATACATCACGGGTAGCTTGCCAGGCTTTGCCGTGCCGGTGAGATACTCTCGGTAGCTTGCTGGGCTCTCCGAGAGGGGTGGAGGAATCGAACCTGGCTTGGCCAGGCTGCCTGCGTGCAAGGCAAATGCCCTGCCGCTGTGCTAAGTGAAATTAAATGGAGAAGAGCTACGTTAGGTGGAAGAATATGTACAAAGCACAGTTATATGACATCATTTAAAAGTCCTAGGATTCAGTTAAAAAGGCTCTTCTGGTTAAAACTGTTTCATCTGGAAGTTGTGGGACAGCAATTCAGTTTTACAATTTAAGTGAAGAACAAGGGTAAACAGTGTTAAATGCTAGGCTGAGGGGTTCAGTTATGATTCATCCAGTGGTGTTGAGTGAAGTATGTTTTTCTTTTCCTTTGGAGATTTCTGTTAGTGCTGGGGAAAAATCAGTTGAAATTTCAGAATCATGAAATAACATCTGTTTTTTTGCAGAAGTAAAAAAACTGCTCTTTAAAAAAAAAGAAACCACTCTTATGGTTATGAAAATTGTCTAGGCTAGAGTTTAATAAAAAGCCACCATTCCTCTCAGAGAGCCTGGCAAGCTACCGAGAGTATCCTGCCCGCACAGCAGTGCCTGGGAAGCTACCTGTGGCGTACTCGATATGCCAAAAATAGTAGCAATGATGGTCCTTATTCCCCGACCCTGAAAGAGCCCCCAATATGCCATCGGGCTATACTAGCATGTGACGGGGACGAATGGAGATGTTACTGGTGCTCACTCAAGCAAATCAATGAACAACGGGGAAATAGTGATAGTGATAGAGTTTAATACACATTTTCAATAAATAGAAATTTCTTTTTCTTTTTTCTCTCTCTTTTTTTATTTTTGGGTCACACCCAGAAATGTTCAGGGGTCACTCCTGGCTCTGCACTCAGGAATTACTCCTGGCAGTGCTTGGGGGACCATATGGGATGCCGGGGATCAAACCCGGGTTGGCCGCGTGCAAGGCAAACGCCCTACCCACTGTGCTATTGCTCCGGCCCCCTTTTTTCTCTTTTTTTTTTTTTTTTTTGCTTTTTGGGTCACCCCTGGCAGTGCACAGGGGTCACTCCTGGCTTTGCACTCAGGAATTACTGCTGGCAGTGCTTGGGGGACCATATGGGATGCCGGGGATCGAACCCGGGTCGGCCACGTGCAAGGCAAATGCCCTACCTGCTGTGCTATCGCTCGAGCCCCTAAACAGAAATTTCTTATGGCTATTTTCAGACTACATGGAAATGGGAAGTTGAGTCGGTATAAGATTGGGAGGTAGGCAGTCAGAGGCGGGGGCAGGCAATCAGGGTAGAGTAGCTTTGCATGAAACAGCTTACAACTTTACTAGATTTTTCTCTTGGCATTTTTTCTGCTCTGATTTAAAACATGGTTACTTTTGTCTTTTTTTTTTTTTTTCTGTGCTGGGGATTGAACCCAAGGCCTCATATATTCAAGGCAAGTTATCTGCTGCTACCTCCCCAGACCCCAAATATTTTAATTATGAAAATTTTTCAAATTTGTTCAGCCACTAAATCCGTTTTCCCTCATGTCCTCCTCCCTCCACTCCACTCCTTTAAAAAAAATCATAATGCTAAAAAAATCAGTGCTGGGGCTAGAGAGATACATAGTGGGTAGGGCGTTTGCCTTGCATGCAGCCGACCTGGGTTCGATTCCCAGCATCCCATATGGTCCCCTGAGATCCGCCAGGAGTGATTCCTGAGTGCAGAGCCAGGAGGAACCCCTGAGCATCGCCGGGTGTGACTCAAAAAGCAAAAAAAAAAAAAAAAAAAAAGAAAAGAAAAGAAAATCAGTAGTGCTTACAGTGTGATAATGGTATATGAAGCATGGTCTATGGGTTGAGATCTGCCAGGGATTAGAGTTTCAGTTCACTATTTGTTTATCCTTGTTTACCAGAGAGCAGTATTGTGAATATTTTTGACATCAACCCTTTAATACCTGAACCTGTTCTTGGCACATTGTAAGCAGCTAGCAGATATCAGGGAAGAAAACAATGACTTTCTTTGAATTCTGTGTCTTTAGGATATTACTCAGAGTTTCCAGTTTAAGTGAGTAAATATTTCAGGGAACAGTTAGGGTAGTATTCAGCACTCAGAGTAATCTTTTCATTACCTATGTAAGGAGCCATTCTGTGTTCCAGCAAGATACAGACATAGGCTTGACTGTGACAAAGGCTAGAGACTCAGAGGTTTGAATTTTTGAGGGATTTTGTATACGTCAATTCCCAAGTATTTATGGATTTGTGTGGCCATGTGCATGTTTGTTTATTTTTGTTTGCTATTGTTGTGAAGCCTACTCCTGTGAGAGCGGAAGGGCCTCTAGGCCTGCACCCTCTTGTGCTCAGGGGACTGTGCAGTGTCCTGGTGTAAACTTGGTCGCACATTCTGCTATTTGGGCCATATGCCCAGCTTCGCACTTAATATTTTAAGTGGAAACTCTTGCCACAGATGTTACTTCTTTTCCGTTAATGTTGGGATGAAGGAAGAAATGAACCAAGTCAATTATTTATTTATTTATTTTTGCATTTTGGGTGACACCTGGCAATGCACAGGGGTTACTCCTGGCTCTGCACTCAGGAATTACTCCTGGCGGTGCTCGGGGGACCATATGGGATGTTGGGAATTGAACACGGGTCGGCCACATGCAAGGCAAATGCCCTACCTGCTGTGCTATCCCTCCTGCCCCTAATTTTTAAATTTTTTTTTTATTAGAATTTGATTATTTGAAGATAGGTGAGGAAGCAGTGAAAATGAAGGCAAGATTGAGCTGCTGTGTTTGGAACTTTTTTTGCTTTTTTTTTTGTGGAGCAAGATAATTTTTATTGAAAATTATCTAGACTTGAGAAGACATTTTAAGAATAAGTTGTTATATTTGTAACAAAGAATTTGTTGAGACTTGAGAAGGCATTTTAAGAAGAGAAGTTGTTATATTTGTAACTTCTCTAGAATTGATGTCTCCATCTGCTCATCCAGCAAGTATTGATGCCTTTATGCCAGGTTTTCACTAAGACTTGAGTCAGTGTTCCAGTTTACTCCAGAGAAATTCTCAGTCAAGTGGGCCAAGAGTGCATTGTTACCTGCGTTATTCAGTTTTAGCTTTTTGTGATTTAGTTACCTGTAGCTAGAAATAATCCAATATTACCTATAATAAGGTATTTTGTGAGAGAAAAATCACATTCACTAAAGTTTTGTTCATTTGTTTTGGATTTTATTTGTAAGCTTGTTTTGGGGCCAGAAATTCTCAGCGGCTATTCCTGGCTCTGCACTCAGGAATCACTCCTGGCTGTGCTCAGGGGACCATAGAGGATGCTGGGAATCGAACCCTGGTCAGCCATGTGCAAGGCAAATGCCCTATCCACTGTACAGTCTCTCTGACTCACATTCACACAATTTTTATTATGATATATTGTTATGATTGATTTTATTGTTGTTAATCGCTACTGCACTTAATGTATACTACTATGTATGTATAAGAAATAAACAATAGATGGAGGATTCAGTTCTGAGTTTTCAGCATCCACAGCGCCTACAAGCAAAAGCGCGCTGTGCTTTCAGTCCCCGCCACTGCTATTAGGCGAGTCTGCTGTTTGGAGTAAAGTAGATGAATGGTTGAGAATTCGTGTTGTTCTTTAAAAATCCGACTTAGGCAATTCCTACATTGGAATAAAATTTAACCTACAAAATTTTGTTTTTATTCTTTTGCTTCTAGATTTAACTTTCTCAACTTTTTTTTGGTATTTCTTATATAATTTCTTTTTCTCAAAATAAAATGTCAGTGCTATAAGTTGGTATTTCCTTTACAATCTTTTTCCAAAATAAAATGTCAGAACTACAAGGCAAGAGTTACTAGGTAAGGAACTGACTTTGGTATTGAATTGAAGGAGGAGTTTGAATTCCAATTGTTGACTGAGGAATTTCCCTCCCAAAGTAATCCCCCGAGTTTTAATTTGCTTTCTTTAATTTTGAAGGAGATGGACGAACACATGCGGAGCATGTTGCATCACAGGGAACTTGAAAACCTGAAGGGCAGGTATGGGAACTGCTGTCTTCCATGAGCTTGTGAGTGTGGGGGGAGCTGAGTGCTGATGGTGCCTGTCAGCTTACTTGATAGTAATCATCTTACATGAATGTTGTTTTGTGGCATAGAATTGTCTTCATAGCAAGGAAGTAGTTTTTTTTTATTTTTTGGCATTCCAAAGGGATGTTTTATGCATCTCAGATGTGTGGAAGTCATGAAACCTCTAGCAAATAGGTTATAATGAAAAGATGGATTGATGTATATTAGCTCTTTTGCTGGTAAGCTTTTATGTTCCTATACCAGTCTTGCAACTGATCTATTTCACATTATTGCCTCAGCGGTGTTGCAAGATACTGCCTGCTCTAAACTTCCTTTGTTGCTAGGATGGTCTTTGCAGTCCAGCTTCTGCTACATAGCCCTGATTCTCATTAGTGTAAAGAAAATCAAAAGCGTGCTGCGCTTCAATCCCCAGCACTGCATCGAGTCTTCCGACTACCTTCAGGTGATCTCTGAGCACAGAACCAGGAGGAAATCCTGACCTGTGCCAGTCGTGGCTTGTAAAAACAAACACAAGAAATGAGCTCTTCCTAAACTAAAATATAAGATACTTTACATTTTATATAAAATCAGTGCATCTCCATAGGAGAGAAACCCATTTTATTCCATGGCTCTTGGTGTATTTTACTCTACTGCTCAGGGGTTAAGGGCCTGCCACCTTGCAGTGGCAGACCCTGGTTCAAAGCCCTGTACCACATATGGTCTTCCTGGCACTGCTGAAAATGCTTGTTGCATTCCAAGGTCACTTTTTCTATTTTTCTTTTTTTCCCCCAAGATTTGGGGCCATGCTCAGTGTGCTTAGGAACTTCTTGTGGCTTTGTGCTCAGGGGACTGTATAGTGCCAAGGATGAAAACCACGTCTTCTGCATGTTAAACGTGTGCTCAACCTCTTGAACTATCTGGTCTCTATTTCAAGATAACTGATCAGTTATTTAAAGCATTTATAAAATGCAAATTTTGTGCTCAGGAAAAAACTCAGGTAAAGGATTAGTTTGTATGGTTTGCATGTCAGAGGCCTGGGTTTGATCCCTGGTACTGTTGGGTATGACCCCCAAAACCAAAATATCAAAAAGCCAACAAATTGATTACTTACAATTCATGTTCATAGTTAATACAGAATTATAAAAAGAGTTTTAGAAAAGTCCTTTCCTTCTTCTAAATCTTATACCTCTCTTAAAGCAAAGTTAACAGTCTGGGGTCTGTCCTATTCAAACCTCTTTTTGTCTGCATATGTAGATTTATATTGGTGTGCACAAAGTTTGTTTTGATTTACTAATATAGCCAAATTCACTTGCCTTATTATGTTTTGTTCTGTAACTTGTTTTCACTTTTTCTCCCGCGTATTAATTATGGAGACTTTTTTCCCCCTCAGTTACTGGAGCATAATCAAGTAATAAAGATCTGAGCTGACAGTACAGATGTCTGTTTTAGCACTATAAACCCTCTCGTTTTAAGGGAGTACTGTAGTACTTATTTTTTGTGGGAGACTCCCTTGTAGTGATGGCCAAGAGCCTAGTGTTACAGGGGAGAAAGTGTGATACTGGGATGAAAGCTAAGGCCCAGCACTCCAGCGTTTGAGCCATTTGAGCCATCTCCCAGCCCCTTGTCAGTATTTGCTTTGTCCTATACTAGAAACAGTGTTAACAAGTTTTATATTATTTCCTGATGAATTATAAGGGAGAAGTAAAGCAGGTAGTGAAGGAAAACAGCTGGCAAAATTATGCCAAAACCAAACAAAAATTTTTAAAAGCATTTACAGACTTGGAATGTTAATTATGGTGCTAAGCAGTCATCATCACTAGAAACAAAATAATTAGAAGTCATTATTTTCTTATTCTCTTTGTGATTATTTTCTTTGCATTTTATGTTTAATTACTGACTTTCTAATGTTAAGACTTCGTTTCACTTTATATCTCTATCACTATAAACTTTCGTTGTGTTTGAGAAAGTAAACTGCTTATTTTTAAAGTATCGGAATGTAAAATAATAAGTTGCATCTCTTACTTGGTTCATAATTGTGGACATCTGGAGCATTTCCTTATTTTTTCCCTAGTGTATTTGATCTGATGTGTAGCCTATAAATAGTTTTTGTTGATAGATGTTATTAAAAAGGCACAAACATCAAACAGCTGTTATGGTGTTGTTAGTGTGCAAGCTTAATAAAGAAAAGCTTATGGATAAAATATCTCAAGGCTTTGCATTTCATACATGAGAGGAGGTTGTGTGGTAACAGGATGAAGCTAATTTGGACCCTTAAGCACTAAGAAATTGTTTCCTTTATTAGTCAAGAAGTAAAGTAGTACTTTTCCCCAACAATCATTTTAAATATGTGTGCAGTGCTAATTTATCTACTATTGATGATCATTACATTATTGATTGCTATTAGATTTTTAGGATGTATCATTTACCAAACGCTGCGTGTTGAGAAGAATGAATGTAAATAAAGCATGTAGAATTGGTCCCATGGTGTCTCCAGAATTGTTTGGCTTCTCAAAACTTGAACCTACTGGCTTTTCCTCTTTTTTCCCTCTGTTTTAATTTTAATTTTTTAAAAATTTTAGTCTCTATGGTTTACAATCTTTCTCGGGCACTCGTATCTCTTAAAAGAGAGGAATGGTTTACAATGCTATTAATGGTGGTGCTTCATGCATAGAACATTCTGTACCCCAGCCTGTCCGTGTCCGCTTCCCTTCACTACTGACTGTTCTTTCCTTTCATGAATGTGAATGTTCTTTCACTTTTTGATATTTCTTAGGAATCTTACTAAAAAATATATTTTATTTATAAGGAAAATGTTAGCTATTTTCAGGTTTTGTTTCTTTGGAGGCCACTTGCCCTGTACTTAAAAGGCTTATTCCTGGTTTTGTCCTCAGGGATCACTCCTGGTGATCCTCAGGGGACTTACGGGTGCTGACAAATGAAATGGGTCGCTGTTTACAAGTGCCCAACCCCAGAATTACCTCTTTAGCTCCAAGATTTCTAATTCTTGATGTTTTTTGGCACTAATTTTTATATTGCCTGAACCCTTTGGCATAAGTTTTTTTGGGGGGTTGGGGGACAACCAGTAGTGCTCAAGCTTTACTTCTAGCTCTGTATTTGCGGGGCTGAGGGTGGCTCGAACCTGGGTAAGGCAAGTGCCGTACCCACTGTACTGTTGGTCTGGTCCTCGGGCAGGATTTCTTAGGAATTTTTTGTTTTGTTTTGGAGAATTGGAACTTCCCAAGAGGTGCTCACAAGGCCAGGGTGCCTCACCTGGTGCCACTCAACCATCTGGGCCCAGTGCTAGGTAGGACCTGAGGATGTGGAGGCCCTGCACGGTGTACCCAGTCATTTCCAGGAGCCAGCGGATGCTGAGGATTGAACCAGATGGAGTACTCGCTCTTTGATCCTCTGGAGGTGTATCTGTGTCAAATAGCTTTGGATCTATGGTGTCTTTCTTGCAAGGAAAGGAGAATGTTTTAAAAATCTGTTTTGAGGGGGCTGGAGCGATAGTACAGTGGGTAGGGCATTTGCCTTACATGTGGCTGATCTGGGTTCGATCTCTGGCATCTCATATAGTTCCCTGATCGCCGCTAGGAGTAACCCCTGAGCATCACTGGGTGTGATGCAAAAAGGGAAAAAAAAATCTGAGAGATAAGCAAGCTTTAAAAATTGAGTATATATTTTACTCATGGGAGTCCTGGGTTTGATCCCTGGTGCCTAATGGTTCCCTGAGCACTGATTCTGGGGATAACTTATGAGAACTGCCAGGTGTTGCCCCAGAACAAAAAATACACAGAAGTCACATGTGAGTGTTATGTATCCCAAATATGCTTGTGCTTTGGGGATTGCAAACTGCATTTGTGATTATTTACAAATAAATTTACGTTTTTTTTTTTTTAATAGAGTTACTGTCGTACTAGATTGCTTAATATTAGGAAAATTCACTGTGGCCTTTAGTAATGTCTTCAAAAAGAAAGGGATATTGATAGTTAGAATATGAGAAAACTTCTGTGCATTTTAGGTTTGTTTCTTTTTTATTTTTTTTTGCTTTTTTTTTTTTTTTTTTTGTCACACCTGGCGATGCACAGGGGTTACTCCTGGCTCTGCATTCAGGATTACCCCTGGCGGTGCTCAGAGGACCATATGGGATGCTGGGAATCGAACCCAGGTTGGCCGCCTGCAAGGCAAACGCCCTACCCGCTGTTCTATCACTCCAGCCCCTATGCATTTTAGTTTTAAGAGTAAAATTTAGAATTGATCTCGCTCGTACTGCAATTGGCAATGTGCAGTTTAAACTAGTTTTTAGATAAAAAGATCCAGGGCCAGGGATGTAGTCTTGCATGTGTGACACCCTGGGTTTGATCTCAGTACTCTCTTAACCCTTTTCCCCACCCTGCCCCATACACATACTGAGTCATACACATACACAATGAACTAAAACATTTCCATAGTTTTTTTTGTTTGTTTTTTTATAAATTTATTTATTGAATCTCTGGTAGAGCAGTTACGAAGCTTTCGGGTTTAAGTCTCGGTCATGATGAAACACCTGTCCCTTCACCAGTGCACATTTTCCACCACCAAAAACCCCAATATACCCGCCAACCCACACCCTCCTCCTACCTGTGTGGCAGATGGTTTCCACATTACTCTCTCTCTACTTTGATTACATTCAGTATTTTGACACCAGACCCACCATTATCATTTGTGATTTTACCCCAACATTCACATCTGCTGAAAAGGCAACATTAGACAATTTGTTTTCTATTGCTAATAATAAACATTTCCATAGTTTTTATGGTTAACAGGTCTAATATGAAAATTCAGTTGACTTGAAATTTTTATTATAGTGTATGTGTGTTCTTGGTCTATTACGGTTCTCATATACTTTGGAGACTGTCCATTGTGAATAGATTATATATGCATTTATTTTAATTTTGCTTCATTTATTTTGGGGGCCACAGTCAGCAGTATTCAGAGCTTACTCTTGGCTCTGTGCTCAGAGATCATTCCAGGTGATGCTTGAGGGCTATCTGCAATGCTGGGAACTGAAGCCTATGCAAGCAAGTCCACTATGTGGTCCCCAGATTATTTATGTTTTTATAGGTATGCCAAGAGGTGCTTGAGGGATGGTGTATATAAAACTGGGAATCAAACTCAGGACCTCACATATGCTGGGATGTCCTTTGTCACTTGATCTGTCTCTCCAGTTCTTATTATATATTTTTAACTTTCTTTTTGTTCTTTGTCACAACATAATGTTCACTTTGAATGAGATACTGTGACTTTAATTTGTTTGAGAGAGGAATATTTGCTGGAGAAAGTTGATTTTTCTTTAGATATAAGGGTCACAAGCACAGTGGGGGAAAAAAACAGAATTACATGGAGTTAGACCATTGATATTGGGATAATTGGGTAATGGTATTTTCAAGGAACTTTGTTAGAATTTATTTAAAAGAATCTTAGGTCAAAGACTATGTTCTGTTGAGAGCATTTTGTGGTTTCAAATCCCAAAAAGTGATGTTTAAATTTTCTACTTTTCTGAGATTTTATTTATTTTTTATGATTCTTGCAAAGTAAAAAGTTTTTTGTTTAATAAGCTTACTGGTGTTTTGTTACTCTGATGCTTAACCACATTGAGCTACTTTTAATATTTTAATCAAATTTCAGGTGATCTGTAACAGAAAACCATCTTCTAGTAAATGAAGTGCTTTGTTTTGAGGATCTTTTCTGGTTATGTGATGCAAAATCTTCTCTTGTCTTGAACTATGGAAAAGTGGAGTGTGTGTGTGTGTGTGTGTGTGTGTGTGTGTGTGTGTGTGTATCTGTATCTGCCTTAACAAAGACTGTCTGCCTTTCTATTTTTGATAGATTTCCATAGGAAGTGCACAAGTATTACTGGGTCAACCCAGTGATGCAAAGAACTGAGTTAGGACTATTGAGATTGTTGAATGAGTGTTACAATCCCTTCATTGTCCCTGTGGACTTGCTGTTCCAGTGTTTCTCAGCAACTGTTGCAGAGACAGCTGAAACCCATCAAGGGAGAAGCTGAACCGGCAGTTACAGTCTTACAGTCTGCCCCTGGGTTCAGTACCCGACTTCTTACACTCACCAAAGAAAAAAAAACAATTTCCTTTCTAAACTTAAATCCTAGCTTTGCTTTTCTGTATACTCCAGCATTTCTGAAATTTGAGAAAAACCATTTGTCTAATGCAGCTGTCAGCTTCCTACAACTGAAATGCTTTCCATTCCCTCTTCCCTTTAAAATAAGCCCTCCTAAAGCCGTTTGTGGATCAGATGTATCACCCGACTAAAAAAGTTTGCTGAGACTATTTCTATCATTTGTCCTGGGGTCCGGAATCTTCACATTCTGGGCAGAGTTCCAGTCTTTTCTGTTTAGTTACTGGATCAGGATTGGTTATGCCGCCTCCTATTTTCTCCACCCCTCAGTTTTCATTGGAAGAAAGCTCTTGGGCCCCAGGTTAAATGTAAGCGCTGTTACCAGGCTTTCTGAGTGCAGTTGGCACCATGGGTGTGCTTCAGGGCAACTTCTGTTTGCTCTGAGCCCCCTGCCCTGCCTCCCCTTTCACCATGTTTCCTCTGGCAAGATTTTAAGTACAGCAATTCAAGAAGATTTCTCCTCCTAAACTACATTATTCTGAAGTGTTTTGCCTCTTGATTGCTGGAAAAGAATCTTACATTCATTTCAAAAGTCACCTTTGAAAAAACGTATTGAAAGTGATGAAAGGAGCATTGAAATCGGCGATCACTAATTTCTCACTGTGCCTACCTGTGCAGTGTCTTTCAGAGGAAACTATTACAGATCTGGTGAGCGTGCCATGCCAGTGGGGAGCATTGATTGTCCTTCATCTCCCTCTTTCCCTAGGGATAGTAGTCATGAGTGCCGAGTGTGCGGGGTCACAGAAGTGGGTCTTTCCGCATATGCAAAGCACATCTCTGGCCAGTTGCACAAAGATAACGTTGATGCCCAGGAAAGAAAAGATGATGGAAAGGGAGAAGAAGAGGAAGAAGAATATTTTGACAAGGAACTCGTTCAATTAATAAAACAAAGGAAAGAACAAAGTCGGTGAGTAATGATTTTTGTTTTCCAAAAGCCTGTCAGAAACAGAACACAAGAATACATTTTCCACTTTCACATTCTCAACCTGTAGTTCAAACTAACCTGTGTTGCAAAGTTAAGTTGAAGTTGCAGTCTTATGAATACAGGACAGTGGAATATTTTCTTGAACCGGGTACTCTACTTAGAAAAAGAGAGAACTGTGTTATCCCAGCATTCAAACTAGCTATCACTATTACATAGCTGAATGTTTTACCACATTGAGGGCTATGTTTAGAACTTCCTGTTGATTCCAATTTTTTTTTTGAATGCCAATAGTTTGTATTTAGTATCCACATTTTCTGGCGTAAGGAGCATTGGCATAGTGCTTCAACCAAATTTGATTTATCTTTTAAAAGTTTATTATTTAGTGCTTTAGTAGATATTGAATAAATAAATGCATATTTTACGTTTGACATTGTCAAGATCATCTGAATTTTCGTGCTTATACTACACAGTTGTATGCCTATGTCTTTAACTTAGGTATTAGTTTTTTCAAATTTTACCATATTGATTTATGGCCTACCAGTGATGAATAAAAGAAACATGGAATTATGAGGTGAAGTTCACATTTCAAGTTTAAGTCATTATAGAAGCATTTCAAATTCTAAAATTTTAAGACTCGAATCTATTACTTCATCTTACTTCATTTTTAGTGGTAAAGTGAAGCTTTAAATATCAATGAGAAGAAAATAGTTTTTATGACTGCTAGAATTTTTTTGAACAAGTCCTGAAAGACTTTTTTTATAGTCTTAAAATATCAGTAGCAACATGGTTCTTCAATCATTTTTTGACCTTCAAATGACACTCTCACTGCTTTCTGTTTATTCTTTCTCCTGTTTTGGGGGTTGGATCTTATAGGAGACCAAGTTCTATTTTTGTTCTTACACACTTGTGCCATTATTAGCTTATCTGTGCAAGTGACTAAACATTAAATCAGAATAAAGGAACTTTTCATTAAATTAGATATTTATATTAGTAGTTAATATTTTTCAAGTAGCCTAGTGTGCCTCTTTGACCAGTTTGAAAGTTATCTACTGATTTCTTTATTAGGCTTTTAATTTCTTACTTCCCCTTCATTCGCCCTCCTCCCCCATACACACCCTTCCCTTCATGAAGGTTTTTTTTTTTAATTGTTATTTCTGGATGGGGGTGTTGAGCTGCAGGTTTTTGTTTTTTTCTTAGTATTATTATTTTGGTTTTTTGAGCCACACCGAGTGATGCTCAGGGCTCACTCCTATCTCTGTACTCAGTAAATGATCTTCCTGGCACGGCTCAGGAAACCATATATGTTGCCAGGAATCAAGCCCACTTTGGCCATGAGCAAGGCAAGTGCCCTACCCGCTGTACTCTGTTTCCAGCTCCTACAATAACAGCTTTTTAAAAAAATTAATTTTAGGCAAATGGTCAAGCTCAGCTCATCCTCCTATAATAGTCCTCTGGCCTGCATGCTCAGGGGACTACCTGGGCCACACCTGGTGGTCCTGGGGTGCCATATGGTGTGGGGGAATCAGACGTGGATCTTGCACACACCCCTGACCCCTAAAAGCTTTTGTAACGTTAAGCTTAGTATTGAGTTAAGATTCAAGCAGATTTAGAGGGGAGACCCCAGCAAAAGAATTTTGTTTGTTTGTTTTTCCATTCTGTCAAGTCTTTGTCATCACGCTCTCAGCTCTAGAATCAGATTGCCTAACTTCACATCTCTCACTTACTGGGTCTGGTACTCTAGGCATGTTAACTTTTTCTGATGCTTAGTTTCCTCATCTGAAAAGTAGGCATAATGATACAGGGGTATAAAAATTAAATCTGTATGAAATGCTTGTCATGAAATGGCTGACAATTAGTACTTATTCCATTTTAGTTATTTTTTATTTTATTTTTTTTTAGCATTTGTCACATGCTAAAAACACTGTGATAGGCATGCACAGGCATTTTGTAGGGGGAAATGCTTTATCAACTATTCCTGTGATGTTTACTTTTATTTATTCATATTTCTGTGGCTCCTTGTCTAAAATAGTTCAAGCAGCTGTAGCTTCTTTATAGAAACCTCTAGCTCATGGTACTCCTTATAGCACTGAGTTTGGGCACTACTCATTGGTATTTGCTATTTTATTCTTGCTCATGACCTTATTTCCACAACTAGAGTGTAAATCCTTCACTAACAGTGGTCAAAGTTTCTCTTCACTACTGGGAAAGAGGACTCACAAGGGCTGGAGCACATACTTTGCATGTGGAAGCTGCCCCTAACCCTTCGTGATCCCCTAAGCATTACTAGGTGTAATGATCTTCCCTTCCTCTGCCACCACCACCCCAGCTCCAAAAAGGAAAAAAAAAAAAGAAAATTTTTCTCTCAGCACCGAAGTTTTGAGTATTTGTTTTATCCCATGTATAGTAATGAAAGTGATTACATGCTAAGTAAAATGTTAACATTTAAAATGGGTGAAGAAAACTGAGATGTTTAGGAAAAACCTGTAACTGGAGAAGTCACAACAGTAAAATTGACTAAACTTAAGGGTTTGGTTTTTTTTTAAAAGTTTTTGGGCACACCCAGCTGTGCTCAGGGATTACTCCTAACAGCGCTTGAAGGACTGTATATTGTGTCAGGGATTGAACCCAGACTTCCCTGGTACAAGGCAAGTGCCTTACCCATTGTACTGTCTCTCTGGTCCCCAATTTAAAATTTTTTAACCAAAACAACTAATCATAGCTATAAAATTATTCTCACTTTCAAAAACCTGCACACGGTAAACTAGTTAGTGGATGGTAGGAATCAGAACAGACCAAGTAAAACAAGAGCAAGAAAGGTAGGGCAGTGTAGATATGATATGTCAGTCTTAGGGACTGGGCTCCACCCCAGCAGCACTAACCCTTAGTGGCACTTAGTGGTCATTCTGGGCATGTTGCTATCATCCAAGGCCCTGTGCCCGGCAGGCATGTATTCCAGGCTTTTGAGCCATCTCCCAGCTCCTAAAGGAATCAACGTTTTAATGTTCAAGGGGCAATAAGAGACACAAAATAGTTTAATTTCTATACTTACAAATCATGAAATAAAAGTTTAACCTTAAAGAAAGCAACTGCTATTAGAAATAAAAGTAGGGAGCTGGAGTGATAGTACAGCAGGTAGAGCATTTGCCTTGCACGTGGCTGATGCAGGTTCTATCCCCAGCATCCCATATGGTCCCCAAGCACAGCCAGGAGTGATTCCTGAGTGCAGAGCCAGGAGTAACCTCTGTGCATTGCTGGGTGTGACCCCCCCCCCAAAAAAAAAAGGAAACCAAAGTAGACTGTAGACTATTGCATATTCTAAGTAGACATGAAAGCAAGAAAGTAGAGACAAGTTTGATATTTGATCTAGTTATCTATGGGTTTTCCCAAGTGCGGCTCATGTGGCCTGAGCACCCTGGGGTGGGTCACCTAAGCCAACCTGGTGATGCTTGGAGCTTCCAGAGCCACACTTAATGATGCTCAGGGAACTGTGATGCTGGGGATTGAACAGGAGTCAGTCACATGCAAGGCATATGCCTTCGCCCCTCTGCTTTATTACTTTGGTTTTTGGGTCATGCCTGGCAATGCTTTGGGACTATTCCTGGCTCTGTGCTCAGGGGTTGGTCCTGGCAGTGCTCGGGGAACCTCACAGTGCTGGGCATCACACCTGGGCCTTCAGCATGCAATACAGGCACACTAGTTGTTGAGCTATCTCTGTGGCCCAGTTGGATTAGGCTTTTAACGAGCAATTCTTTTAAATCACCAATAAAAAGCCATTTTTTTTTTTATCCCTTTTCAGACAAGAGGAAGCTTCCCATAGCAGTCAAGAAATAAACTCAGATGACAGGCGACCCCAAAGAAGAAGAGAAGATCGAATCCCGTACCCAGACAGAGAGAGTTACGGTCAGCCCGGCTGGCATCACCGCGGGCCTCCCCAGCGGGACTGGAAATGGGACAAAGATGGCTTTAATAACACAAGGAAAAACAGCTTTCCACATTCTTTGAGGAATAACGGTGGACCAAGAGGCTGTCCTTTGTGGCATAAGGGTGTTGCAGGAGGCCCCTCAAATTGGTTTCACAACCACAATAATTCTGGAGGTGGTTGGCATTCAAATAGTGGAACCGTAGATTGGAACCATAATGGCACAGGAAGAAATTCCAGTTGGCATTCTGAGGGAACAGGTGGCTTTTCCAGTTGGCATATGAGCAACAGTAACGGAAACTGGAAATCCAGTGCGCGTGGTACAAATAGTTGGAATTACAGTGGCCCTGGAGACAAATTTCAACCAGGGAGAAACAGAAATTCTAACTGTCAGATGGAAGACATGTCTATGCTATGGAACAATAAACCCAAGCCAAACAAATACAGTCAAGAGAGATACCATTGGCAAAGGCAAGAAAACAGCAAAGGTGGGACAGTTGCCACTTACCGAAGCCCTTCTGCAGACTTTGCAAATGATAAATTTCCTTCGGAAGACTTATTTGACTTCAGTTTTGAGCAGCGGGAAAACCAGACCACTAAACCCACAGACACCATGGCTTCCAAAATTGGTGGGAAGAACGGCAGTGTGGCAAGGGAGAAGCTCCATCGCTGGACTCCTTACCCGTCTCAGAAAACCCTGGATCTGCAGGCAGCCATGAAAGAGGTCATTAGTAAGTCAGAAGTGACAGACAAGCCTCTTTTTGATTTTAGCCTGATAACCAGGGGAACGCAAGATTCCAAAAGCGAGGACTCAACAAAAAAGGGCCCATCACTGAAATCACACAGAAAACTCAGTCCTGCATTTCTTGCGCACAAGGCCACGTCAGACCATGCTGCTTCCTCTGAGGTGGTACGAGACTGCCCCGTTAGAGAAAAACCCGAGCAACCACAAAATTTAAACAAGGCGTCATCATTAAAATCCGCACCCCTTCCCACCCCAGTGGCTAAATCAGTTCTTCCAAAGCAGAATTCAAAGAAGCCTCCCAAAAACACCAAAAAACATTCTTTTTCTCCCAAGGAGTACATGAATTCCTCAAACAAACCCATTGTGGAAGATAATCATGATTCCACCTATATATCCAAACTGCGGAGTTCATGTCCTCGTACCTTAAAAGGGAAAGAAAGTATATCTGGTGCTCAAAGGGAACTTGAGGAAAACTTAAATGCTACGTTAGAAAAAGCCAAAGATGGGCTGCCATGTCCCACATCATTGCCAAATCCTTTTCCTGGCAGCACCACCAAAAGGAACTGTGCTAAAGCAAATAGAAATGTCGAAGAGTCTGGAAAAGGTTCTTTGAAAATTGAGTTTCAGGTTCACGCAACAGAGCATGAAAGTGATGGGGAGATATCGGACCCAGAAAAGCCTGGGGCAAAAATTGGAACCCCAGTTTCTGTGACTGCAGAAGCTTTATCTTATGCCACTCCCACCACAGCTGAGAGAGAGGGTAATGATGCCAGCCTGAAAACAGCTAGAAAACGATCCACTTCTCCATGTAACTCAACGGTGCCCCAGAAAGAGCCTGAGTTACAGACGACATCCACAGCCAATCCCCACTCGGATTTGCTGTTAGACTTGAAAGCTTCTCTCGAAGATGCTCAGGTTGATGAGATGGTCAAGTCTCATGTGTCTTATGAAACAGAAGGTTTTGAGAGCACTGCTTTGGATGGAGACCTTCAAAAAGGTGAGTTGGGCCAGCCCACAGGCCCTCTCCTTCCTGAGCTAAGTAAGCTGGGCTTTCCCGCCTCGCTTCAGAGAGACCTAACCCGGCACATCAGTTTAAAAAGTAAAAGTGGAGCGCACCTTCCAGAACCAAACCTCAATAGTGCGCGACGCATCCGCAATATTAGTGGTCATCGGAAGAGCGAGACGGAGAAGGAATCTGGACTCAAGCCAACCCTCCGGCAGATTCTAAATGCCTCGCGTCGAAATGTCAACTGGGAACAGGTCATTCAGCAAGTAACCAAGAAAAAACAAGAACTAGGCAAAGGCCTACCCAGGTGTGTGTCCCTTTTCGGTATACATTTTTGTTTTAGAATTAGCCTATAAGCCCTGTCTGGAGAATTCTACTGTTACACTTAATTAAATATTTGCAAAAAATGTATCTGTTATAGATGTCTGGCTCAAATATCAAAGATTGCTCCAGGAAAAAACCTCTCAAACCCAGCATTTGGTTTATAGGGGTTGGAAAGTAACAGCATAGGAATTATATTTATAAATCTTTTTCTATCTCTAGATTTTACTAAGTGGTACAACTTTTTTTTTTTCTACCCAGGTTTTTCTTTTTTTTTTTTTATTTAATCATTTTTTTAATTAGTGAAACACCATGAGGTACATTTATAGACTTATAAATTTTTGTGCTTGGGTTTCAGTTATATAATGATCAAGTACCCATCCCTCCACCAGTGCCCATCCTCCCCCACCACGGGTCCTAGCATCCCTCCCACCCCCCATCCCCCCCCCAACCCACCCTGCCGCTGTGGCAGGGCATTCCCCCTTGTTCTCTCTCTTCTTTTGGGTACTGTGTTTTGCCAGAGAGGCATTGAGTGGCAATCATGTTTGGTCTATAGACTACTTTTAGCATGTCTCTCCCACCCTGGGAGGGTCTTCACAACACCCTTTATTTGGTGCTTTCTTCTCTATCTGAGCTTCCTTTTCACCTAGCACATGTGGCTGGCCTTCAAGTCATGGAGCAAAATTCCTGGTACTAATCTGAGCCATTCCTGGGTGTTAGTCTCCCAATTGTTGCTTTATGTTCCCCAGATGAATGCAGTCTTTCTGTGTCTATCCCGCTCTTTCTGACTCATTTCACTTAAGTGGTACAACTTTTAAGTATAACTTCTCATTACTTTTAACTTGGGCTGGAGCAATAGCACAGCGGTAGGGCGTTTGCCTTGCACGCAGCCAACATGGCCGACCCGAGTTCGATTCCTCCGCCCCTCTCGGAGAGCCCGGCAAGCTACCGAGAGTATTCGATATGCCAGACACAGTAACAACAAAGTCTCCAATGGAGACGTTACTGGGCCCGCTCGAGCAAATCGATGATCAATGGGAGGGCCTTTACCTTTACCTTTATTTTAACTTAGAGTAAAAGAATAATTATCCACCTGTGTATAATTTGAATACATTGATCACAGCATGTTTTTGCTTGAATATTTTGTAATTTTGATTATTCATCTTTCACTGGGGTACTAAACAATTCTGAATACCAAAGTAGTATTTGACACAATTTTGCTATGTAGGTGGAAACCATTATTATGCTGTATTATAATTATAGTCTTCCAAACTTAAATTCTATCCTTGCTGAAATTACTTACTTGTTGTGCTCCCTCTTCTTTTTCCATATTTTGTGTTATGGGGATTCTGAGTTTCTTCTTTTTCCCTTGGAGCAGTTCTTGCAGTGTTCAAGGATTGCCAGTACCACACCTGGCAGTGTTTGGGGTGGTGGGGCAGGGGGGGAGGGGCATTCAGTATAGGGAATTGAGCCCAAGGCCTCACCCATCAATTAATGTTCTCTGCCATTTGAAGCACATCCCTGGTCCATGGTTATAAAGTTCTTAGCATTGTGTCAGACATGTGGGAATGCTTATTAAACATTATTATTTGTTTTGGCTTTCTGAGATTGAGTAGTATTATTGGTCTGGATCTCGATATTATATAAAACCCTGAAGTTTTATTCTCTCAAATGTGTCTTCACAGTTGTGCAGAAATTGCTTATTTGGTATTTGTTATATTACAATACTGACAATCATATGTTATACCTGAAACTTTTTTTTTATTAATTAACTTTTTAAATTTTACATATTTTTAATTGAATCACCATGAAGATAAACCGTTAAAGAGCTGTTCACAATTGGGTTTCAGTCATACAATGTTCCAACAGCCATCCCTACACCAGTGTACATTTCCTACCACCAATGTCTCCAGTATCCTGCCCGTCTGGAACTTTCAATAGACTGTGAAATCCTTGAGGACAAAAACCACCCTAGTTATGTTAATGGCCTCAGTGTTTAACATAGTCTGGCACTAAAAATGCCCTCTGCCCCCAGCCATGTCCATTTTATGAATTTTCTTTCTTTTAGGTTTGGCATAGAAATGGTTCCTTTGGTCCAGAATGAACAAGAGGGCTTGGATTTAGACGGAGAGCCCGATCTGTCCAGTCTGGAAGGGTTCCAGTGGGAAAGTGTTTCCGTTTCTTCTTCATCCCCTGGGCTGGCAAGGAAACGCAGCCTTTCTGAGAGCAGTGTGATCATGGACAGGACTCCTTCCGTGTTTGGCTTCTTCAGTGAGGAAGGCACAGGCAAAGAAAATGAGCCCCAGGAAATCCTTTCACCTCCTAATTCACTGAGGTCTACACAGAACCAGAAAGTGACCCTGGGACTTAAGCAGGAAGCCACGCCTCTGTCTACCTCCTTGATAATGGGTGAAGGAACTGAAAATGTCACTGCCAGGAGGCGGCATAGTACCCAGTTCTCCGACCACACAGCCCCTGTGATGCAGTTAGCCAAACACCCCAGCAGCCAAAAGAGTACACCCCCACCTGAGAACCAGAACACCCAGGAGAGCAATGGAGAAGGAAGCTCGTTATCGTCCACTGTATCCTCAGCCCTTGCGATCTCCAGTTTGGCAGATGCTGCGACAGATAGCAGCTGCACCTCTGGTGCTGAGCAAAACGACGGCCAGAGTGTTAGAAAGAAACGAAGAGCCACTGGGGTGAGTGACTCCCTGTGCTTTCTGTAAGGCACTTTGTGTGGTGCCCACACCATACGAAAAATTTGTCTTGACTTTTTTTGGGCTTTAACTTTTAAGTTTTTTCCTTGGGTATCTGGGGCTGTGGCTCTCACTACTTTGGAATACATGATTTGTGAGGCTCCGCCCTTACGATCAGAGCCTTGTTCTGCTGGTTTCTTTCACTGAGTAATTCTACCAAGTCAGATGTAATTGAATATGAATGTGCAAGGAAAATATGAAGTCATCTCTAAACCTAGTCTCCATGCCAGTGATTCTTTTTTTAATCACCTGACCATGGAGTATCCCACAGCTTCAGCTGTAACTTGATCTGTTTTCATGATGCAGATCTGGAAAGCTACCAAGGAAAAGTCTTAGAATTGCATTTGGAGGGCATATATGCCTGTTCGACCCAGGACAGATGACCGTAGCAATGCAGTGATTTTAATACTGCTACAGTACATCCATGTGAGCTTATTAGTCTTAAATTTTTTATTTATTTTATTTTTCATCTCTGTTGCATTAACTTTTGTATTTTACTCAGGATCCATTCTTTCACTGATAGGTGTCTTCACTAGCATCTCTGTTGCTGCCATTGTTCAACTTTTTCTGGAACCCTTTCTGAAGAGAAATACAGTCCAGAAGCAGGCAATTTTGAGAAGATGGGCCTTTTCCATCATGAACTGAGCCAGTGTAACCGTAGTTAAGTGCATAGGTTGTACATCTAGGTTTAAATTCTAACTTTCTTCCTTTGACTCCGGAATAGTCAAGCAAGAGATTCTTCCATGATAAAGTTAATCTCTTGGGGCTTGTCTGTTAGATTATTCAGTTCATGATTGTAAAGATTTTCTTGCTGAAATTTCAAGTAAAAACCATGCTAAGATGAAATTGTGTACATTATTACTATTTTTTTTCCAGACTTCTGTTTATACTTTGCTTTACCAAGATGTAATGTTTTGCCTAATCATCTTGGACTTTCCCATTTCTATGATGCTAGAAAGGTACTTCACCTTAGATTTTTTTTTTTTAAATCCAGTTCAGTCAACTAATGTTTCAGTTTGGACCATGTATAAAACTTTCATTATCCTATTAGAAATAGTAGCAACAATGAAGACTAATACATGATTATCTTAGAATTGACCTTTTTTTGTTTTCTCTGGATAATTATCTTCATATATTTATTATTGCTCAATTTTCTGTATCTCCTCAGGATGGATCTTCTCCTGAACTTCCAAGTCTAGAGAGAAAAAATAAAAGAAGGAAAATTAAAGGAAAGAAAGGTACAGTGTAGAATATTTTGGCAGAAAAAAAATAATTAGCAATGCAAAGCAACTTGGCATAGCATAACGTGGTTATCAAACACTGATTTTCAATTTATTAATATCTTTGTTGTCCTAAAGGTATATGAAAGTTTGATTTCTTATGACATTCAGTTGCTGTATAGAAGAATGATATCTTTAAACTAAATGTTAATATAAATCTTGAACAGATTCATGGTGTGTGAAGCCAGAGTGTCTCATTGGACTTCTTTCCAGTGTGTTGAAGAGGAAGAGATAATTGTATTATCTTTCCTGGTCTTACTATTTTTCTTGTTTTCCATTTTGAGGCATCTTGGTTGCTTTACTCATGTGAATTAAGAAGAAAAGTGATTTAGTGTGCTTCAGTTTAAGGGCCATTACAGAATATGATGAGCCTTGGGTGATTGGATCTAGTACATAAGAGTCAGGAAGTACAATTTCTGGTTGGGGCAGCTATGTAGATGATGGTTAACATTTGTAGAACTAGAAAATTTCATAGAGCTTTAGTATAGAGGAAGACAATCTTTACTTGGGGAGAGGGTCGGGTAGAGGTTGGATTTCTTTGAGTTAAAGGAACTTGGAGATAACCACCGCTAGAGGTACTATATTGGTGGTTGGCAATACGGGTCTGGAGTTTGGTGGTAAGACCTTGGTGTACTGAATGGGAAAGAGATAATGATGATAAAAACATACACATAATAGGATGTTTGTTCAAAAAACGAATATGAAACCCTCAGCAGCTCTCTCTCACCACCTGCTCACCCTCTGTGTTTGGTGGTCTTGTGTCACTTCCCCGACCCCAGGGTTGCAGATGGCAATGGGTGGACAAAGGAGGAAACAAGGGCCAGGCTGGGTGGTGTCAGTTGCAGTTTAATCAAATCCTGTCTTCATTCCTCTTCCTCATTTTCTTCTCCAATCCCCTTCATCATCCTCTTTGATTCTGCTCTTTCATACTTCTCCTGGATTCTCCTGATTCTCTCTCTCCATTTTACTTCATTCTCTTCCTCCCGATTCTCCCCTTGCCCACTCTTACAGTCTTAGTTATATCCCAAAGCATGAGGGGTTGGGGATTACACATAGGTGTGGTCATACAGTCAACAGATGTAAAGTCCTTCCCTCAGGGCAAGCTTCTTCTAGGACAAACTCTCATTCAGCAAGATGACCCACACAAGGGCAAAATACCATCTATGGGTGTGTTTCTCCCTTCCTTAGTCCAGCGAACATATAAACATTCACAATATTAGTCATTTTGTATGGACACAGTAAGAGTTATATTAAGCTTACAGGATGGCTCTCCTGGGGGCATCTTGCTATAGATCTCAGACAGTGCTCAGGCCAGAATAGTCTTTTCTTAAAGCCTCTCAGTGTCCTAATCTAGTTGGTACTTTTTGGATCATGAAAGAATTTGTCCATGATCATGTTTTTAACTTGTAGTTAAGTATTGTGGTGCTTTGGCCTGGCCTGTGTCCGTGCCAGAGTAGCTAACAGCCTGCCCTGGGTCCATCCAGTCCCTCATCAGGATCCCGCTTTTGGTGTGCTTGAAACTAAGGGTAGCTGAGGCTTAAGTCGAGAAAACAGATGACCAGGATTGAATATTATTAAGAGTCAATTAACTCCCAAGTTACGAAGCATAGCATTAACTGTCTTCCTGTGTCTGTACATGAAGGATATTTCTCTGAAGTAAAAGGAGATAAGGAGACTAGAAAGGCAATATTTCACTTATGAATACAATCCACTGTCCTTAGAAGGATCTGACCTTACAAGTTAACAGAGTCTGATTAGGGGATACAGGTGATTGACCAGTTGGGGAAGCAGAGAACAAAGAAAGAGGTTACAGATAAACAAAGGAATGGGAGTGCCTCAGGTGTACTGTGACGGGTATTACTCAGTAAACCTAAATTCCCTGCAGCCAGGAGAAAGGACAAACCAGTGTTAAGCCTAAAATGTTTAGATCTATATTCCAATAAACATAGAAGAATGGGGTCCACTGTGATGGGTAATACTCAATAAACCTAAACTCCCTGTGGCAAGGGAGAAAGGACAAACCAATGTTATCCTACAGTAAGATGTTTATTTTAAAGTAACTTAAGTGTAGTTTTTAAAGGCAACATACATGTGTTTTTATATATTTTTTGTTTTTTTTTCGGGGGGGTGGGGGGATGGAGGACATACCCGGAGATGCACAGGGATTACTCCTGGCTCTGCACTCAGAAATTACTCTTGGTGGGGCTCAGGGGACTGATGCCAGAGATCGAACCTGGGTTAGCTGATTGCAAGGCAAATGCTCTACCCACAGTGCTATATCACTCTGACCCTAAAAGCTGTATTTTCCCCCCAGAAAGCCTGCACTAATAAGGAGAACAATTTTTGTTTGTTTGGGGCCCACACCTAGCAATCTCAGTGCTCAGGGCTTTCTTCTGGCTCTGTGCTCACGGGGACCGTATGTGGTGATGGGCTCAAACGTGGGTTGACTCCGATGTGCAAGTCAGGTGCCCTATCTCCTATATTATTTCTCTTGCCCCAAGGAGAACAATTTTAAATGAACAGACTAAAGATATATTTTGGGATGAGAGTGTAAGCACTTTAGATAATGGGGTCTAATCTAAGCAAAAACCTTGGTTGTGGATGGTGGTAGGTAAAGGAAGAATAGGAAATGAAGCTGAGAAGAGTTGATTGATCTGGGACAAAGATTTTTCTTGGCTGGGTTGGTGGTGGAGGATGGTGATTAGGTACAGTGGTCTCTTAGTGGGAAACACTTTACCTCTAGCTTACCAGTTCTCTGCTTTTGGTTTCTAGCTCTCATCATGTTGGGTTTAACTGTGTGGTTTGTGAAACTAGATGAGTTTCCAGTGACTTCATGGGGAAAAATAAAATCTTAGATCATTCAAATAGTCCCATTTTTTCTGAGCAACTGACTTAATAAAGAGAAGTCTATGGTAATAAACTGAGCCTTGTGATTTTTTTGACAGAACGTTCTCAGGTTGACCAGCTGCTGAATATTTCTTTAAGGGAGGAAGAACTAAGCAAATCACTGCAGTGCATGGATAACAATCTCCTGCAAGCTCGTGCAGCGCTTCAAACAGCTTATGTTGAAGTTCAGAGGCTACTTATGCTTAAGCAGCAGGTAAAGTTTATGGAACAGTGAATGAAAATGAATTATCTCTGAAGTTGAGTTCCAAGTATTTAATTGAATGCTTTATTTTCAGATAACTATGGAGATGAGTGCACTGAGGACCCATAGAATACAGATTCTACAGGGATTACAAGGTATTTGGAAAGAATTGGATGAATTGGACCCTCTAATTTAATTTTTTTGTTCTCTAGGGCAATTAAATGAATGGAAGGACATATGTTTTATATATATATATACATATATATTATATATATTCTTAAAATGCTGAAGATAGTACATTACTAAAAAAGCCTTGGTTAGAAATCAAAAGATATGGTTCTTTTTTGTTTTTGTTTTTGGGACCAGCCACACCCCGTTGTATTCAGGACTTGCTTCTGGTTTTGCGCTCAGGGATCACTTTTGGACCAAGGGCTCAGGGGACCATCTGGGGTGCAGGGAGTCCAACCTGGGGTGGTCATGTTTAAGGCAAGTGCTTAGCCATTCTACTATCTCTCTGGCCCCATGGTTTAAATCTTGACTTTTCCATTAGTACTCATATATGACTTTGGATAAATAACTTAAAATCTGAACAGTTGAAATGTTAATGCATGTTTTATCTATATCCTTCTTGATTGTATGACATGCTATTTTGAAAAAACAAAACAAAAAACATGGGATTCTAAAATTCTAGTGTAAATTTTAAAAACATGCTTTAGGGCCAGATAGTAGGACAGCTATAGGGCACTTGCCTAGCATGCACCAACTAGGTTTTATCCTAGCATTATATATGGTTCCCTGAGCCCCTCCAGGAGTGATTCCTGAGTGCAGAGCCAGGAGTGAGCCCTGAGCACGGCTGGGTGTGGCCCCAAAATAACAAAATTTTTTAAAAAATGTATATTTTATATGTGTGTGTGTTTATACCCATTAAAATTGACCTTTTAAGTAACATTTTTCATTGTATATGTGTGTTTCCCATTTTAGAAACATATGAACCTTCTGAGCGCCCAGACCAGGTTGTTTGTAGTCTTCCACGAGAACAAAGAAGCAGTAGATCTCAGACATCTGCCGATACCGCCTTGCTGCCTTCTCCCTTTTTTCCTGTTTTTCTGGATTCTCCATCATCCACTGGAGTCCCTCTCCAAGTCACTGCATCTCCTACTTTCCAAGTCCACGGTAGCCTTCCTGCACCAGACTCCTCGGTTCAGATTAAACAAGAGCCCATGTCTCCTGAACACAGCGAGAATGTGAATGTTATGTCACAAGACTCTGCTTGCACTGAGTCCAAGGAATTACTGCAAGCTAATAGTATGTAAACTTTTCTCTGAGTTAAGGGCAACCCTGTAGTGAATCTGGGGCGATTTGATATCAATGATGTAATGTCATACTTCCCCATTAAAGTTCAAGTTACTACAATTAATTTTTCTTGAAATTTCCTTCATTCAAGGTAAAGGTAAAGGTAAAGGCCCTCCCGTTGATCGTCGATTTGCTCGAGCGGGCCCAGTAACGTCTCTGTTGGAGACTTTGTTTTTACTGTGTCTGGCATATCGAATACTCTCGGTAGCTTGCCGGGCTCTCCAAGAGGGGCGGAGGAATCGAACTCGGGTCGGCCATGTTGGCCGCGTGTAAGGCGAACGCCCTACCCGCTGTGCTACTATTTAATTATCAATAACTTTTTTTTAACCTATAATTTCTAAATTGGCTTTGTATTTGTTCCTGAAAGTTTTCACTTATTGGGATTGATTTAGAATCAGTTTGTTTTTGTGAGATATATGGGTTCAGTTTTCTAGACAAGGTATATCATTCATGTCTTCTGAGTTTCTTTTGCTGATATAGGATTTATTATGTAAGCCTGAAAGATAGGATGCTCTGCAGAGGGAATTTTGGGGTTTAGAATCATTGAATAGGAACTTGGATGGTTTTGAAAAATGGCCAGGATCTTTACCCTTTTCATAAAATTACATTCATCTGCTTACCATTTGAAAATAACTTCAAATGGTAATTTAAATAGATTTTTTTTTTTTTTTTTGCTCTTTGGGTCACACCTGGTGATGCTAAGGGGTACCCCTGACTCTGCACTTCTGCACTCAGGAATTACTCCTAGCGGTTCTTGAGGGACTATATGGGATGCTTTGGATCAAAACTGGATCAGCTTTGTACAAGGCAAATGCCTTACCCACTGTACTATTGCTCCAGCTCCAGAAATGCTATTTCAAGTCTGGAAGTTGCCCACAATGGTGCTATATTGATAAGTAATGTTTGCAAACTTAGAGTTATTTCTTTTTTGGAGTCTTTTTCGGTCACACCCGGTGATTCTCAGGGGTTACTCCTGGCTCTGCACTCAGGAATTACTCCTGGCAGTGCTCAGGGGACCATATGGGATGCTGGGGGATTGAACCCAGGTAGGCCATGTGCAATGCAAATGCCCTAACTCACTGTACTATTGCTCTGGCCCCATTTGGGTGATTTCTTATACAAAAACCAAATGTGAAGACTTATCCTAGATTTGACTACCTGTTGCAATTCTAAATAGTTATATCAAATGTATATTACCTTTCCTAATGAATTTTGTTATTTTTCTGTGGATAATATCTAATATTTTTAAAAAAGTAGTCAAATATTATATAGTACTCTTAACGCTCATTTTAGAAAGTAGCTTTTATCAGATTTCTTTTACCAGTTGCAAAAGTAGTTCCTATTTATTGTAAGAAATGGGTGAACTATAAAAGTAGAGGTATGCTACTTTGATATATATTATTTAAATCTTATATCATGGATGTTTATGTGTTTACATGTGGATTTAAACAGAGGTCATATTTGTCTGATCTTTGAATTTAAAGGTCTTTTTATTTTTAAGTATTCTGTATGTCACTACATTGTATATATCTTTGAATATGTCTGATTGTTTCATGAGTTAAAAATCCTAGACATGAAATAACGAACTCTAAGAAAATAGATGTTGTCGTTGTTGTCACTGCTGCTGTTGCTGGGGGGTGGAGGTGGACTTGTTTCCATGTGGGAAGTACACACTGTGCGCTGGGGTTGCAATGCTGTGGGGCACACACTGGTGTGCTAGGGATTGCCTTAGTTTTGGGGCTCACACACCCTATTGCTGTACCCTGGGGTTGCATACTTTATGGTGGTGCTGGGTATGGGGGGCATATTTCATACTCTGTTGCGCCAAGGGTCACACACTTTCTTGTGGTACAGGGGGTCAGAATTGTGGCACTGAAGGTTGCAGCTAGCATTGCACGGGATCACACTTGCTACTATGGGGTGGTGCTGAGTATCAAAATCAGGGTCTGATGCATGTAGGTCAGCAGCTTTACCACTGAGACACAAGTGGCCCCAGAAAAAAAGCTTTTTTCTTTTTAAAAAAAATAGTTAAAGTTAATGTGTATACAATGGTATTGACATTGATGACTTGTATTTTTAAGTCAGCTGACTTCTTATTAGTCATTAGTAGCACTGTAGCACTGTCCTCCCATTATTCATCAATTTGCTCGAGCGGGGACCAGTAACGTCTCCATTATGAGACTTGTTACTGTTTTTGGCATATCAAATACATCACATCATGGGGAGCTTGCCAGGCTCTGCTTGTGGGCAGGATACTCTCGGTAGCTTGCCGGGCTCTCTGAGAGGGGTGGAGGAATTGAACTCAGATAGCAAATGCCCTACCCGCTGTGCTATCGCTCCAGCCATTAGTATTTAGCTAAATTGGATATACAGGCAAATCCATTTGAAAACTTAAGAGAAATAAAAGAGAAAACACTTCAGTTAAGAAGATACTTAAGTATATACTAAGACTTAAACACAATGTTAAATATGTGGACATTCAAACAAGAAAGAAACAATCTACCCATAAGGAGCTTTCACAAGATATCATTTGTGAGATTAGGGCAAGTGCTGTCATAGATGTGTATGTAGGTTATGGGATACTAATGGGTGAGATAATAATGGTCATAGCCATAGTTTGCTTAGCATACAGTAGTGCCATTTTAGGGTGGAGATTCAATCAGTGATAAATGATTGCAGTTTATGACTAAAAAAATAGCAGACACAATAAAAGATTCAATAAATAATTTTTTTCTTCTCAATTCAGGAGAGACCACTGAGAGTGGTCCAGTTTTTCCAATCATCACTGCAACATTGCATTTATCAGAGCTAAGGGAAAATTTCCATGATCCTAGCCAAGAACTAAAGCTTTCCATGGAGCAGAGGCATACCAGAAACAAAGAAAATGTACCCTCTTCCCAGTCAACTGGTCTACCTAGCATAATTAAAGGAAGTGAAGAGCCAATCAAAGGCAACAGCGGGTCTGAAGCTTGTACCAGTTCTTTTCCGAGATTGTCCTTTCCTTCAGAAACCCCTTTAGAGAAGGAACCCCATTCTCCAGCTGACCAGCTTGAACAGCAGGCAGAATCCACTCTGACTTCAGCTGAACCTAAGGGAAATAAGAAAAAGAAGAAACTTAGGAAGAAGAAAAGTCTGCGAGCTGCCCATGTTCCTGAGAACAGTGACACTGAGCAGGATATATTCACTGCTAAACCTGTAAGGAAAGTAAAAACTGGAAAGTCAACCAAAGGGGGGAAAGTAACCACCTCCACCTGGGAAGATAGCAGAACTGGCCCAGAACAAGAGAGTATCCGGGATGAGCCAGATAGTGACTCGTCCCTGGAAGTCCTAGAAATTCCCAATCCTCCATTTGTAGTAGTAGACATTGATTCTTGTGAATCGGGAGAAGAGAAACCAGACAGTCCATCTAAAAAGGATATTTGGCACTCCACAGAGCAGCACTCCTTAGAGCCGTCTCGTTCTGGTTGTGATGAAGTTAGCTCTACCAGTGAGATTGTGACGCACAATAAAGATGGCATTCCTGTAAGGTAAGTTTGTTGGATTCTTTCAGAATTGTCTCTTTAAAAATAGTCTTTTTTTTTTTTTTGTATTTCAAGTGCAATTTTTATTTAAAATTGTTTTACTTTTGACTGTTGGGACACAGCTGGTGGTGCTCAAAGCTTATTCCTGGCTCTGAGCTCGGGGATTGCTCCTGGCAGGCTCAGGGAATCATATGGGTACTGGGGATCAAACCCAGGTCAACTACAATCAAGGCAAGAAGCTTACCCATTGTACTATCACTCTGGCCCCTTAAAAAATCATCAGTTTTAAAAGAAATCATATTTGTATGAAAGCAGTAGGGATTGTGTTTACAGTAGATTGGACCTTGGTTGACAGTGGGGATTCTATTTTCTCATTTATGTTGTAAATATTTATTATACTTTATTTCCTCTTATAATTTCAGAAAAAAAACCTCATTTTTATTTTATGGGGGTGGGTTTGGTGACACAACCAGCAATGTTTGGGGCTTACTCCTGGCTCTGTACTCAAGCATTATTCTTGGAGGTGCTCAGCTAACTGACTATATGTGGTGCCGGGGATCAAACCCTAGTAATCCCAAGTAGGACAAGCATCTCAGCCTCTGTATTATCTGTCTGGAAAAAACTGCTCTCCTATCATCATTGCTGCTTTGCCATTTGACTAGAACAATGTTTTGACAGGAAGAGTTTCACTTAAATTCACACCCATGCTAAAATATTTCTTTCATTTTGTAGTGTGGCAGAAACTCAGACTGTCATCTCCTCCATGAAAGGATCAAAGAATTCTTCAGGTATTTGGCCATTCAGTATGCCAAACACAGTAACAACAAAGTCTCCAATGAAGACATTATTGGACCTACTCGAGCAAATCGATGAACAACGGGAGGACAGTGACAGTGACAGTTTTTAAATTGGTCATAAGGGAAAAAGGCTTGTAAATAAATACTAAAGCCAAAGTTTAAATCTACTTAAGTGTACCTATAAAGTGAGAGGGTGGGGTTATCACCCAGGGTTTTCCCCTAAATTTTGAAATAATGAACTTTTTGAAAAGATCAGTCCCATCTTCCTTGTCTGTATAGCTCATTAGTATTAAGGTTTCATTGGGTCAGGGGGAGTTTGAAAGAACTGCTTAAAGAGTAAAGACTCAACAACATAGCTGGTGTTAGAAGAGACTAGATATGGAGAGATACTTGCTCCTTTTATATGTCACTCAAAAAGCCATTACATGAGTGATTGTCATTTTCCTAAATGAAAGGCCTTCTGTTTTGAGTCTTCACAGTGGAGATCATGAATGAAAAACATATTTTGTTGAAAGTAACTAAGGAGAAACTAAGAATCACCAGGTCCTGGAATGGTCTTAAACTTTTGAGCATCTTTTCACAATGCCCAAAGACATGTCTCTGAAAGCTATTATTGTTTTCTAGAAATTTCTTCCGAACCAGGAGATGATGATGAACCCACTGAAGGGAGTTTTGAGGGGCACCAGGCTGCAGTGAATGCAATTCAGATATTCGGGAGCTTATTGTATACTTGCTCAGCAGATAAGACGGTCCGGGCTTATAATCTGGTGGTAAGTTGATATCGCAATTTAGAAAACTTTCGATAGTAGTAGGTTTTAGAAACTCCAACATGCTCTCTAAGAGCAGTTGGAAGTTTGCTGTTCAGAGATAGTCTAAAGGTAGACTTTAGATTGACTTCATAGTCTCTCAATTCAGGATGATCTGATGCAGATATAATTTCTTCCTCACTCTCCCTTTGATATGTTATTCCAAAAACTAATACTTCTTCTCATTGAACAGACACTAGGAGCCATTGAGTTTCCTTTTCCCGTTCACCAAAATATGGTCCAGTGCCTTAATTCTTGGGCTAAGGAGATGAGATTCCAGCAATAAATGTGACATGCTCAGGATCTCAGCTGTAGTGCTGGTAATGAGGTCACTAACTCAACTAGTACCCAACAGAAAAGAGATGGGAAAATGGAGAGGTGTTGGAGCTGGTCCCAAGTTGTTCAAGTGGGTAGCTTGTTCCACTTCCCCACACTTAATATAGCCTGCTAATGGTTTCTCTGAAACTACTCAGAGTGCACTTTCTGAAATTTTAATTTTGGTGTATAAAATCCCACTGATTGTGTTAGGCAACGCTCATAGTCAAGAAACTTCAGGAACATTATATAGGTCCAAAGAAACACCATGAAGGTATTTGGAATTGTTGAAGGCTCTGAGAAGGTGAGACTGAGGAGTGGTTTGATAGTGGAACAGGAAAATGTTTACTGGGGCTGTAATGATAGTATACAGCAGGTGGGGCATTTGTCCTGCATTTGGATTTGATCCCCAGCACCACACACAGCTTCCTGACCCCTTACAGGAGTAACCCCTGAGCTTAGAGGCAGCAGTAAGCCCTGTGCCACTACTGGGGGGTGTGGCCCCCCATTTTTTTTTTTTAAGTTTTCTCTGGGCAGCTGGTGCCCAGAGTAGTTAGCCTTCAGTATGCCTGAGGAAGTAAAGTAGTGGTAGCAGAAAGTAAGAGTCTAAAATCTGGGGGATTGACTATAACTTGAAATTGCAAACTAAATGTATATCATGTAGATACTAAATGTTAGTGCCATACAGAGATAATATTTAGAATGTTTTTTATAAAACCACACTTGATCCACTAAGCTCTGTGATGGTTCCTTTGATGGGTTTGGGGCATTAGGGAACAGTCCCACAGACAACTGATTCAAGGCAAGATCTAAACTGGATGATTAGCTACAGTATATGTTAGCTGTGTTTGGTGCTTTATATGTTTGAGAGGGTTGGTCTTAGCCAATAGTTGAAATTTGATAGAATAGTGAATCTCCCAAAGTATTTTTCGGGATGACTCAGCTAACAACATAATTGTAGGTATGTCAGTACATGTGACTGAGCAGATAGTTACTGAACACTTGTGTGCAGGCACTGAGGACACAATAATAAACAGGTTTTAGCTTTTTTGTTTTGTTTTGTTTTGTTTTGGGGCCACACCCACCGCTTACTCCTGGCTCTGCACTCTAATGAAATTAGTCCTGGTGGTGTGCTTGGGGGACCATATGGGATGCTGGGGATTGAGCTGAGGTCACCATGTGCAAGACAAGTGCCCTCCCCACTGTACTATCGCTCCAGCCCTAGCATCTTTTTTTTTTTTTTTGAAGGGGGAGGGGGCCCACACCCGGCAGTACACTGGGGTTATTCCTGGCTCTGCGCTCAGGGGACCATATGGGATGCTGGGAATCAAACCCAGGTTGGCTGTGCAAGGCAAGTTCCCTCCCTGCTGTGCTTTTTTTTTTTTTTTTTGGCTTTTTGAGTCACACCTGGAAATGCTCAGGGGTTAACTCCTGGCTTTGCACTCAGGAATTAACTCCTGGCTGTGCTCAGGGGACCATATGGGATGCTGGGAATCGAACCCGGATCAGCTGCATGCAAGGCAAACGGCCTACCTGCTGTGCTATTTCTCCAGCCCCCCAAAATCTTTATTTGTTTGTGTGTGTTTGTTTGTTACATGTGTGGAGGACACACTTAAGCTATTTCTTTTCTGTTTCCATTGTAATCTGATTTGTGTTTGACTTTAGAACCGGAAGTGTATTGGTGTCTTTGAGGGCCATACCTCCAAAGTGAACTGCCTCCTGGTTACTCAGACTTCTGGGAAGAATGCTGTCCTTTTCACGGGTTCCAGTGATCATACTATTCGCTGCTATAATGTGAAGGTTGGTGGGTCCAGATAAAATGATATTTTGAACTGGTTCCAACTGCATTTGTACTGTGGTGTGAAGAAACAACTGTCCTCTTTCTTGTTTTGCTTTTGGACTGATTTTAACACACACAATTCTTGGTAGATAGGGAGATTTAGATCTGATCCTTGTTTGCCTCTCTTCTTCACTTTAGGGCTGGAGCGATAGCACAGCGGGTAGGGCGTTCGCCTTACAAGCGGCCAACAAGGCCGACCCGAGTTCGATTCCTCCGCCCCTCTCGGGGAGCCCGGCAAGCTACCGAGAGTATTCGATATGCCAGACACAGTAACAACAAAGTCTCCAATGGAGGCGTTACTGGGCACACTCCAGCAAATCGACGATCAACGGGAGGGCCTTTACCTTTACCTTTACCTTCACTTTAGGACTTTGGGCTATTTATTACTAATGTGCTCACGTGATTATTTCTGTAGGCTGTTGCAGCAAAAACACAGGGAAGGGAAAGAAAAACCTGAGAGAAAAATCAGTGAATCCAAAAATTAGTTCTTTGAAAAGATAAACGAAATAAGCCCCTTGCTAAATTGATATTCAAAAAGAAAAGAGACACATTTGCAATGTCCAGGAGGAAAGAACCAGATAGTAGCAGTAATCTTGTTGTGGTAAAATAACAGAAACAATGTATGTCAACTGGCAAATGGGTGTATATAAAAACAAATGTGGGACATAAAAGTCGGGAACAGTAAGAAGAACAAGCTGTTGGTACTTGTAGCGTCATGAAGGGGTGTGGAAGACTGCATTTCAGAAATGTTCTCAAGCTCTGGTAGTTCACATGACTACACTTGACCAAACTTAAAGTATTTTATGGTGAATTTTATTACATGAAAGTTACTCTTCAGCAAAGTTATTTAAGAAATGTAAACATATTCTGTCAAAATAATTTTTTAAAATCTCTTTGTTGTTGTTTTATGCCTAGTTAATTCCTAAGCGGCAATTTTTTTGCTTCTTCAGTTTCTTCTGTGGTATCCTTTTATTCTGTGCAGCCCTCCTCTTCAGGTTCAGGAATACTCTGTATTTTTTTTTTTTTTTAGTCAGGTTCATATCAGTGCGACAGGGAGAACTCATATGGGAGTTAAGCCACCAATAAGCCCTGTCAGTTCTATGGTGCTTGTTGGGCGTTTGTTCCCCTTGATATGTTCAATGACCAGAGAATTTCCATCTAAACCCATACTTTCAGCATTACTTGCTATATTTGAGAGCTTCTTATTCTCTATAGCTTGAGGGTCTTTTAGCACATATTTCAAAAGAGAAATATATATACATTTGTAGGGACTATCATACATATATATCATATATGATGTATGTATATAGTAGCACTGTAGCACTGTCCTCCCATTGTTCATCCATTTGCTTGAGTGGGCACCAGTAACTTCTCCAGTATGAGACTTGTTACTGTTTTTGGCATATCGAATACGTCATGGGGAGCTTGCTAGGCTTTGCTGTGCAGGCGGGATACTCTTGGTAGCTTGCCGGGCTCTCTGAGGCGGCGGAGGAATTGAACCTGGGTGGGCTTCGTGCAAAGCAAACGCCCTACCCGCTGTGCTATTGCTCAGCCCATGTATATAGTAGTTTCTACAAATCAGAGAATTAGAGAATGCTGCGGTTTCTTCCTCTTGAACATCATTTCATACTCTGCTACCAAGAGACTTGTGTTCATATTTGATTTGCCGCTAGTGCCTGCTACTGATGTGTTGTATATTTCCACCAGACTCGAGAGTGTGTGGAGCAGTTACAGCTGGAAGACCGGGTTCTCTGCCTCCACAGTAGGTGGCGAATTCTCTTTGCTGGACTGGCAAATGGCACTGTGGTCACCTTCAACATAAAGGTTAGTGCTAGAGGAGAAATGGCTGAATTTCCATGCCACATGAGAAAAGTATGTGTGTAGAGAGGGAAGAGAAGTACAAGTAGACATTTCCTGTTTCCTGATGTGAGGAAGCAAGAATTAGCCAATATTCAAGAAACTTACCCTCTGATGGAAGTGAAACAAATTCCTAAATTCTGTCTGCTCAGGCCCAAGTGTGTCAGGATCAAATGTAAATGCTACCAAAGTAAACCAAGTCTGACAGTTAGGGGACAAATAAGGAGTCATAGGTTAAACTTGTCTGTCTCATTTTTAGAATGACACTATGAAAGATGAGCTTAAAAATCCTTTGACTTTGGTGTGGTTTGGAACTGGCTAAGGGTTTCATGAGGGAAGCCTGGCAGTAAAGTGAGCTGAGTTTAAAGTTTGCTTTCAGGACAAGTAGTCTCATTCTTTCCTAACCTAAATAGAAATTAGTTTGTTGGACAAACCTTCATGGATCATCTATTATGTTCTAGGCCCAGAATAAGGCTAGTAGTTCATGGCAGACCGTGCCCTGTGAGAGGTCAGCCTGGGCTTCTTATATGCAGATATGCACTCCAACTCGTTATCTGCCCCTGCCCTGCTTTGTTGTCAGGGAGGCATTTGGGAACTAGTGAAATAATAGTTAACTAGAACGCATATATTTAATGCAGTTATCAAATATACAACGGTGGTTCATATTTTCCTTTTTTTGTTTTTTGTTTTGAGGCCACTCTTGGCTCTGTTCCAGGGGTCACTCTTGGAGGGGCTTTGGAGACCATATGGGGTATTAGGCTTGAACAGGAATCAGCTGTGTGCAATGCCAATGCCTTAACGTCTGTACTACCTACCTCTCCAGTCACACCTGCCACCCTCATTTTCCTTTTAAATGTTAAATGGGACTTTATCTTTGGCCACTCAAGAGGCTAATAGTTCATAGTGTCCTGAATTTCAGTCCCTCCAGCACCCAGGATTCTAAAATGTGTATTTGGCCATGTGGACTTCTAGCGGCTGCTTTTGCAATTTCTGGGAGTTTTACCTTATCTGCGTGCCTAACAGTCTATTTTGGGTGGAGAGGTAGGACATCACCTGGTGTTCAGGGGCTCCGTCTGGCTCAGTGCTCTGGAGTGACCCATGATGCTGCTCAAGGCACTGTATTTGGTGCCAAAGAATTGAACTAATAAGGTTGGCCACTTGCATGGAAAGTGCTTGCCTTAGCTCCTCTCTGTGGCTCTGACTCCTGGTTTTTGGTTTGGGGGCTGCACTTGGCAGTGCTCAAGCACTTTTTTTTTAATTTTAATTTTTTTTTGGGGGGGGGTCACACCCGGGGATGCACAAGGGTTACTCCTGGCTCATGTGCTCAGGAATTACCCCTGGTGGTGCTCAGAGTACCATATGGGATGCTGGGAATTGAACCCGGGTTGACTGCGTACAAGGCAGACGCCCTACCTGCTGTACTATCGCTCCAGCCCCAACTCAAGCACTTCTTTCAGCTCTGTGCACATAGTCCCCCAAATCCTACTGGTTATGATCCCCTTAACATTAATGACCCAACAAAAGTTGAATGACAGGGATAGGCCATGGGAATGAGAACTAAGTACAGATAACCAATTTGAGAGTTTGTCAGGATCTTGATTTTAGTTTGCTCATTGTGTCTACTTCATGTAACGGCCTTTTTCCCAGAACAACAAACGTCTTGAGATCTTCGAATGCCATGGCCCTCGGGCCGTCAGCTGTCTGGCCACTGCCCAGGAAGGTGCCCGGAAGCTGCTAGTGGTGGGGTCTTACGACTGCACCATCAGCGTGCGCGATGCCCGGAATGGACTACTCCTTAGGACGCTAGAGGGCCACAGCAAAACCATTCTCTGCATGAAGGCAAGTAAAGTGTGGGGCAAGAAGAGTTCTCACACAAACAAGAGATTTGAAGACATTTCTCCTGTCTCACGCCTTATTTAGAACATAATCATCTTTAAAAGATGAGCAAAATGATTACAGACCTTTTCATTAGACTTGAGTCACCAAGGAATACGGTATTTTTAGTAGACTGAGATATCATTAAATTGGTATTATAAAATGTAGATAAAGGTTGTTGCCTTCTTAACCATTCTGGAGCAATGCTGAACATAATCCTTACTAGCTTATCAGAGTACCTGGTAGTACAATCTAGTTCAAAAGTTTACTGTATCCCTAGTTACTACACATCTGAATGGAAGATGATAATTAGAATATGCTATTGTTCATTACAGTGGAAAGCTCAGAATTTTCCACCAAATCTCACTCATTGAACTTGTTTCTTTAAGGTGGTGAATGACCTTGTGTTTAGTGGCTCCAGCGATCAGTCTGTCCATGCCCACAACATTCATGTAAGTCCTGAGTAAAGAAACCTTTGACAGAATGATAAATAAAGCTTATAGGATTCCTCAGACCACTTGCAATTTAAATGGAAGACCTTTTTACTGTGAATGTCTTTATAACTCTATGCACAAACTCTAGGATAGTAACAGAGCATCCTAGAAATTCCGACAGTTTAGTTATTTTGAATGACTCATTTCGACTTGAGGTAAATGGAGCATCCGCTTCTTTCAAGTAGATGTGATCCATAATCTAATATAGACCAAGTGAAAACAGCTGAGACTCCACTCAGGTCACAGAAGCAGCTTTGAAGATTCGTTTCTGGCCTGTAAACCTGCAGGTGATCCACCTCAGGGTGTTTCATCTTTGGGTGTGGTAAAATGATAAAGGAGTAAATACCTTAAAAACTATCGAATGCCAACATATAGTTGTGACACTTCTTTTTCTGTGGCCCTGAGTTCTCTCCCTTTGATGACTGAGCACAGATTCTGTGTGGGTAGCACATGCTCGTGAGAGGGCCTCAGCTGTTAAAATTAGCACAGCTCTCTGTGTGTCCCGGCGTCTCCTAGTCGGGGCCAGGGGACAGCCAATGCCACGCACTCCCAGAAGTCTTCAGTGACTCCTTCCTCTCCTCTCCACAGACGGGGGAGCTCGTGCGCATCTACAAAGGCCACAATCATGCAGTGACTGTGGTCAACATCCTTGGGAAGGTGATGGTGACCGCATGCCTGGATAAGTTTGTTCGCGTCTATGAGTTGCAGGTAGAATTCAAATTATTCAGAACTTTGCTGAAATGATTTGGGGAGAGTGTCCATTTGGGTTTTATTTATTTATTTTTCAGTATAATGAGTTAGGTGAAACCTGGGAACCTGACTTTTTTTCAAGCTTTTTGAGCTAATTGCCCAGAAACCCCCATTCCAGCAACATTGCTGTGAAATAAGTGGTCGGGCTCACAGGTTCCAAGAACTGAAGTGAGAATCAGGGCTGTGTGGCTCAAGGGTAGAGGACTTGCTCTTGCCTATGTGAGATGCTGGGTTTGATCCATGGCACCGCAGAAATACAGAACAAACAAACAAAAAATAAATTCCTTAAGTGGGTTTCTGTAAAGTCACTATCATCTCTAAGTCCTGTTTAATTTTTCTTGCACCCAATTTCAAGTTTGAGATTAGATACCGTATAGAAATTTTTTTAATTTCCAATTATTAGCAACTTTTTCTTGAGAAATTATTAGAAAAAATGCCATGAAATTCTTGTTTTTGTTAAAATGCTTTACCTTGGTGCCTTGGGTATAATTTTAAACTGTTTTAAACCTGTTAGTTTCCAAGACCATCCTTAGGAAACACACAGGGTAGCACTGTAGCAGTGTCCTGTTGTTCATTGATTTGCTTGAGCGGGCCCAGTGACATCTTAATTGTGAGACTTGTTACTGTGTTTGGCATATCGAATATATCATGGGTAGCTTGCCAGGCTTTGCTGTGCGGGCGAGATACTCTGGGTATCTTGCGAGGCTCTCCAGAGGGGCGGAGAAATCGAACTCTGGTCGGCCAGGTCAGCTGCGTGCAAGGCAAACAACCTACCCGCTGTGCTATCACTCCAGCCCAGGAAACACTCAGGGTATGTAACCTTAATCTCTTCTTTTTTTCCTCTTTCTCCACCAAAGTCCCATGATCGATTGCAGGTTTATGGAGGACACAAAGACATGATCATGTGTATGACTATCCATAAAAGTATGGTGAGTATAATTTTTCATGTCATTAATTGCCTTTAAAAAGGAAAAGAACTAAAAATTTTGCAAACCAATAATAATGTTACCACTTGTCACTTCCCAAAAGGAAATTTTTTCTTTTCTTTCTTTCTTTTTTTTTTTTTTAACTGATAGACCTTACTATTAGATACCTTTGTACATACCTAGTAGGTTTTTAATTAGTTAAATTTTTTTGTTTGTTTGTTTTGGATCATTCCTGGAGGTGCTCAGGGGACCTTAAGTGGTACCAGTATCAAACTTGGGTTGACTGCTTGCAAGGCAAGTGCCTTATCCTCTGGACTATCTCTCTAGTTCTATCTAATAGTACTGAGAAATTACCCAATACAGTTGTTGAATATTTCATATTTAATATATAACATAATTACAGTAAAAATCAAGTGCATCTTTAAATAGAAGAATAAATTTAAGATGTGTCCCCTAAATTAACTGGGCTTTCCCCCTGAGATACTATGATCTGAATAGAACATGGGAATGGAATCATGCAGTTTGGCTTATGTGTCATGGTTAGTTATACCAGACCTGAAAATAGAAACTAATTTAGTAATCCTGCTCTCTTTCTTGGGGGTAGGGAGGTGGATTTGGACCACACCCGACAGTGTTCAAGGTTTTCTCTTGGTTCTGCATTCAGGGGTCACTCCCAGCAGGGCTTAGGGGGCCATATGGGATGCTGAGGTTCAAACCCGGGTCAGCTACATGCAGGTCAAGCACCTTACTCGCTGTGCTATTGCTCCAGCCCAGATCTTACTTATTTCTGAGTTGTTTTTTTAAATTATGAGATTAAACCAGAATGGATGATTTTTCAACTCTTGAGCAGTACAGATCTTTGTCCCAGTGAAGCACAAATGCTCAGTGAAAGCTAGAGCCGTACCAAGGCAAGTGTAAGTAGGTGCCTGTGAGTTCTGCCACTTCTGAGACTTGAGCCCAAGACTGACTTCCAAGTGGTGCAGCTTCCAAGTAGCTGGATTAGAAGATCTAGTGAAACTTTTCCATTGTAGTGCTCTGAGACTGCTTTAGTTTAGATTTGTGTTTTCTTCTCTTTGATTTTGGAGTCACACCTACTGATGCTCAGAGGTTATTCCTGACTCTACATTCTGGGTCGGGGGGATCATATGGGATGCTGGGGCTCAAACCTAGGTCTGCCATGTGCAAGGCAAGCACCCTCCCCTCTGTACTTTCTGGCCCTAATATGTGTTTTCTTAATTGACTTCTACAAGTACCTTTCAGCTCTGGTTTAGAGGGTTTTTTATAGTTGTTTTGTGTGTATAGTTTTGATCTGACCTGATAACCCTCTTTCTCTAGATTTACACTGGCTGTTATGATGGCAGTATTCAGGCTGTAAGACTAAATCTGATGCAGAATTACCGCTGTTGGGTAAGGAATGCTGGTTCACCAGACTTAGGAATTCCTTAATCTTTGACTAATTCACAGGCTTTCATCATCATCAGTAGATTTTTTTAAATTTTACTTAACTATTTATTGATGGGCATTTGGTCAGGCCACACCCGGCAGTGCTTGGAGACTACTCCTTGCTCTGTGCTCAGGGGTTGCCCCTGTCACAGCTTAATGGGCCATTCAGTGCTGGGGATTAAACTTGTGTCAGCTTCATGCGAGGCAAGTGCCTTAACCCTTGTACTCTCTCTCTCTGGTCCCAGGATTTTAATTTTATTTTTGAGCATCAACTTTATACCTCTACTATAGGACAGGAAAGCTATACTAAAGAATCTGTTTAATTTCTATACTCCCTTAATGAAGTTTGTTGTAAGATTAAATATGAAATATATTTAAGTATCATCCACTCAAGGTATATCCTTGATGGATTCTGCTTTATTATAAAATAAGTCAGTGCTTACCAAAATTTCCATCGTACAGAAATATATGAAGTAAAAAAAATGAAAGCGCTTGTCTTTGTAATCTGCTCTCTGTAGTTAAAACCATTTCTAAGGGATTTCACATATTCATAGTTTGGTTGTGTCTTCATTGTTTTTGAGGAATAAGCAATAAAAATTGTTTTTGTTTGTTTTTTTTGTTTTGCGGTGATGGGGATTGAAGGCAAGTGCTCTATCACTGAGCTACATTCCCCACTCAAGATTTGTATTTTTGAAGTTTAAATCAGCTCTCTTGGCAATTCAGTGAAATCAGTGTTTTCCATTTGGGGGTTTGGACTGGTAATTAACCTCAAAACTGCCATCTTTCTTATAAGTTCTTGTTTGTTTTTGTTTTGGGGACAGAAATGCTCAGTTACTTTTGGCTTAGTGCTTGGGATCTGTATTGGCTTCTAAGGGTACCCAGCTGGGGTCAGCCACATGTAAGGCAAGCACCCTATCCACTGTGCTATTCCAGCTCCTTCCTCCTAAGTCTTAATTTGTTTCATCACTCTACTGTATATAAAGAAATGGGGACGATGCCTTCAGATTATAAACCAGAGTAGTGTTATTAATAGGGGAAAAGCCTAAATGAACATGTTAGCATCCTAAGAGTCATTACAAGCCTGTTGAGAAAAGTCAAGACCAAGGGGCTTAATGTTTTCTCACAAGTAAAATTGTATCACATGTATAAGTAAAGTTACACTATTTTAAAAAAAGATGAAAAAGTAGCCAATAACATGATTATGATTCAGTTTAGACTTCTGTGATTTCCAAACACCATTTTCTACAATAAGTATTTGCATAAATGTTGCTTTCTTTATAAAACATGTTCATTTTAGGTATACAGATTAGGACCATAAAAATGTAAAAGCTTTCAGTGGACAAGTCCTTTGCCTTTTTTAATGAATGGACTGAGAAACTCATTTTATAATGAAAAAATAAAGAATAAATATGGCTTGATTAGGATTGTGGGGGGTAGGGTTGGGGGACACTGGAACCATGGTGGAGGGAAGTGAACACTCTTTGAGGGAGGGTATGGTAAGGGATAGTATATGCATGGAACCCTACCATTAACCATATTATAAACCACAGTACCAAAAATTAAAAAATTATTACCAAAAAAAATATGACTTAAATAGGTATTTGGGTTGGGGGGATGCTGCGGGGTTTGTGGCCATATCTGATAATGCTCAGGGGTCTCAGGATCAAACTGGCATCAGTCACATGCAAGGCTTAACCCCTGTACTATCTTTCTGATCCCTTAAATGGAATTTTGTGTTAATCTTCCTATAGGTATTTATGCCAGTCTTTTTTTAGTAATAGCTATTTAATACTTTATCAGATTACCAAAGTGTCAAAAGACCAGTGTTCTCTAGGTTCTTCATTATATTGATAAGTAAACTGATACCCTCTGCTTTGTTGTATTTTATAGTCAAGAGTAAATTAAAGTACGAAGGCTTCTTTTTGTTTCCACAAAACTTTGGGGATACAAATGTGGAATGTTCTCACACACGTTCCTTGTGTTCCTTTTAACTTCCTCTTTCATTCTCTTTCCAGTGGCACGGATGCTCTCTGATATTTGGTGTGGTGGATCATTTAAAACAGCATTTGCTGACTGACCATACGAATCCAAACTTTCAAACTCTGAAATGTCGCTGGAAGAACTGTGATGCTTTTTTTACTGCTAGGAAAGGATCCAAACAGGTACCTCAAGTATGCCTGACCCTTGGGGCCAGGCTGACTGTCCCAGTCCTGATACTGCCATACTTGACTTCCCATTCCTGTCTGTCCCAGTTGTGACTGTCCTGATCCTGACTGTCTCGGTTCTGACTGCCCTTGTCCTGGCTGTCCATTCCTGACTGCCCCGTTCCTGACTGCTGGGCCGACATAACGTATGGACATTAGACTATTCCTGAAGTGAATATTCTGATTTATTGATTTATTTATTTACTTAGCTTTTTGGGTCACACCTGGCAATGCTCAGGGGTTACTCCTCACTCTGCATTCAGGAATTACTCCTGGCAGTGCTTAGGGGACCATATGGGATGCTGGGAATCGAACTCGGGTTGGTCGCGTGCAAGGCAAACGCCCTACCCACTGTACTATCGCTCCAGCCCCTGAGGTTCTTGACTTTGACATTGTCCCCTCCTGCTACCAGCTTTTCTCTCACAGGCCTTGTCCCTTTCTTCCTAGGATGCTGTGGGACACATTGAACGGCACGCAGAGGATGACAGCAAAATTGACTCATGAAGTTTTTTGCCTCCCATGTTGGGAAGTCATTAGTTGAACTCATTTCATACTGACCTTCTCCTGGCCATGTTCTCTTCCCTTCCCAGGGAAGGAGAGATGGTGCTCAGCCAGACTCACCACTAGCACAAGTCTGGTCTGTTCAATGGGAGGGTTAAATTACCCCTTAAGTTGTTACTGGAGGTTGATCAGATTTTATGAAACGATACTTTTCTGGAGAGCATGACATATAGTAATGTGTGCTATTAGTTTGCACCAAATGTTTATTAAAGATGCAGATTGAAATTGGATACCCAGTTTGACACTAATCAAATGTGTATTTTAAAAAATTTTTTTTGTTGTTTTTGTTTTTTGGTTTAAACTTGTAGTCAGGCCTTTAAGTACAAGTTTGTTCAAATGCTATGTTTTTTAGGGTCATTTTTGATTCCTCTAGGCTTAATAACTATGTAAACTAGAAAGCCAACAGTGTCCTTTTTTGGTGGTGGTGGTGGAGCAGTGCTGAGGATCTAGTAGCTTCCCTGATAATTACGTTCACTCTGTTTTAAGATTCACTTTCTCCATAGATAGTCAGAGCTGGCTTTAAACGCTTATGGGACACGCTGTAGGTCTGCAGCTAGAGTAACTGCTGACTATAGTTCAGATCTCGAGGCAGCAGAGCATTTCCCCATGAGCTCCTGTGAGGGTCTTGATCCTCAGATGCTTGCTGCTCTCCTAGACCTGACATCTGCTCGGGAACCTGCTCAGGCCCCAGCCCTAGCTGCCTCGGGGCTTTTCAGACTATTGGAATTGGAGATGGAGCTTTTATCCCCCTTCTGGTTTCTGGTTCCCCGTGCCAGTTTGGAATCCATTTGCTCCATTGTCCACCTCTGTCTCCCACTGTCTCGCTGTGCCTTGGCTCAGGATGGCCACAAGTACTTCCTCAAGGCTCAGGGCACTTTCCATCGTGGACAGTGCCTAGGATGGGGAGAGTTAGAGTAGAACATCTAAAACCACTTTTGAGGCCTCAAATAGGCTTCTTAAAGACTGATTTATAACATCAATGTCTTTTGCTCGTTTCCCTACTAACTGGGAAAGAAGATTAAAGTACCATGAAAATAAAGTTTCAATCTGTCCACTGAAAACGCCAATTAACAAGACCGCTTTGGCTGTTGGGGAGTTTCTGTGGACTCCTGAGAAGCTAGAAAAAGTGTTGCTTACCAGCTTTTTATTTTTGACTTCTCAGAACTCTGAAAAATTCTTCAGAGACAGAAGAACCCGACACCACATCCAAAGCTTTGGGGTGTGACACCCACTGCTCTGGGTTTGCATCTGGGTCCTTCTCTGCCTGGTCACATGCATCTGTGCATGTCCAGGCTGCAGGTTGGGGATGGGGGGGTCATGAGGGACTTGGGATAGGTTTCAAGAGGATAAGAGGATATAAACCTCCTGGAATTAAATGCAGGACACTAAATTTGTTTTTCCAGGGAAGTAGTAGTACTTATTGGATTGGGGGAGGGGGGGAGTTAATTTATCTTGGAGCTGCTACTAGACCATGGGTGACTCCCCCAAAGCTATTTAGCTCTGTCCGTGTTAAACAGGAAAACTCTTTGGGTGACCACATTAACAGTGGTTCACACTGACGCATACCACCCATGTCTCACACTTGGATGTGACTTAACACAAAGATTGCCGAGCTGGTGTCAGGGTGTTAATGAGATTTGCATGATACTTGGGAGAGAACAGAGAAACTCCTGCTAATCACAAAGTATATTTGTTCAGTTTCTGTACAAGATTCAGAAGCTTTTCCCCACCTCTTAGTCCTGTTTCCTCTAAGTGCAACCTGGGGAACTGGGCTGTTCTGTGGGGTCGGGAATGGTGATTCCCCGGGAAAGTGCATTTGGATTTGTTGCTGAGCCTGGTGTGTTGTCTGGGCTGTGGTAGAGGCACATTTCCCACTGGCTAGACAGTTGCTAAGGAAGTTTTTTAACCCTCTGTTGCTGAGGTGCCTTTCTGTCCTGCCTGAGGGTGTGTCTGGACAGAGTGGCAGAGCCTTTGGTCATCAGGAAAGGGGTATGTGAAGTGTTGGACTCCATGAGGGACCTTTGCAAGAATAACAGATGATTGAATCAGGACTACATTATTTGGGTTTCACTTTGGCAGAATCATGCCGTCTGTCTGTCTGTGCGCATGTTCCTTGTGTGTGCATGCACACGGGCGCCCAGACTTATTATTCTTTTCCTCATTTCACAGAGGTTTTTTTGTTTTTATTTTTAAATTTTTGAAGCAGTGACTATAACATCTTTTTTTGAGGATATATAAAATTCATTTAACATCAGGTAAATGTGTTGTCCGAAATGCACTATTCTGGTTCTCCATTTTGAAATAAAGACTGCATAAGAATCTTGGCTGCTTATTGTTATATGTTACTACTTTGAAGTATCTTGAAAGTTATACAGAACGTCAGCTATGCGTTAAGGCTTCTCCTCTGTCTTGACTAATTTTCGCCTGTCTTCCCTCAGAGAGGAGCTGTGGCTCAGGGATTTGTGTTGACTCGTATCTCAATGAAGGAAGGAAACTGTTCTGTAACCTGACAGAACCAGCTCATTTTTCACAGGTAGTTGGAGAATGCAGAAAACTCTTTTTGTAGAATGTTAGTTTTGATGGTCTGCTTTTATCGACTAGAAACCAAGAAACCATGGCACGAATCTTTTTATGGCACATGCTGCTGTTTCAGTGGCAGTCTGCTGTGAGAAATATTTTTATTTTGAAACTTTGAGTCAGGTTCAGAATGTATTGGGGCCTCCTCTGTTAGGAGTTAAACAGATCTCTTCAGAGCAGTTTCTTTACCTGATGTTACTTGAATTTGGAAGTCACTGCTCTTGCACTCCTGCTTCTGTGTGGAAGTTTATTTCTGCTCAAATGAGTTAGCAGTTGAGTGTTTAACTACTGATCTACCTGTCATTTATAGGTGATATTGTTCTTGAAGTGGTCCTTTGCCTAACAAAGGTTTGGGTTTTTTGTTTGTTTGTGGGTAGATTATTGCAGTGGGCAACTTTAGTGACTAGGTATGTGAATGAATTGGTGAAAGTAGGTGCACAAACACTTAGTAAGATGGAATGGTATATTTTATGGAAGTGAATTCATTGTGAAAGGAAGATTGAAGTATATTATGGGATTTGAACAGCACATCATCCTCTGGTTTGCTCAAGTAATTTGTGATTTATATACGCTGACTTAAACATTTTTTTAAACATTTTTTTTTTTAATTCCTGTTACCCTAGAGGAGAACTCCAAGAAGGTCATTAAGGGTCTGAAGGTCATGCCTGCCACATTGCTAGAATAATGGTTTCAGCCCTGCCTCCGGCATCAGCATCCTTATTTCAGAACCTGTGCCACAGGTGATTGGGGCTGTACTGAGTTGCATATGCACATGGCTGTGAGTCCTAGTGTAAGCAGCAGCTGCCTCTAACCTCACCTCTAACAGCACCTGTCCCCAAGCATGCAGCTCTGTTTAGTCATGTGACACTGTAGCCCCACAGAACAGGGCTGGGAGAGTGTCCTGAAGAAAAGACCATTGAAGATCTTTTTCCTGCTTAAGAGAAACACGCCTTGACTGCTCCAGCACTGTGCGATCTGATTTTTGTTTTATGGAACATAAATTGGAAGAATGAAATCAGATGACACCCGACTGCAAAAATGTTTATAAAGCAAATAGCGTATAAAGCTGTGACCGTCATAACTTTGTAAAGCAAGATTTAAAGCAAATACAAGAGGAAAATAAAATACTTTTCCTAATTGATTATTTACTTTGTGGGGACACAAAAGGGCACACCAGGTGGTGCTTGGAACCCTGGGGTCACTTTCACTGATACTTGGTGCAACCAGTGAGCTGTGTTGGGAGGGGACCAAACTTACTACTGGTGGGCTGGGGATGCAAGGCCTCCACTTTCCAGACCTGTGCCCCACCGCTTGAGCCATATCCCCAGCTCTTTTCTTTGGTTGTTGTGTCTGCAGACACATTGCCAACCTCTTTTCCCTGTCAGTTTAGGAAGCAAGAAGAGAATTGGGTAGATGATGCAAGGTGATTAAGCCATAGACTATACTCCAGATGGATTTGGGAAACAGCTATATTTTAGGATTCTTGAAAGGCTATTAATAGGTCACTTAATGGAAGAGAAATAAAAATGGCATCACACAATGTAGTAGCCTCCAGTGCAAGGCACCACTTAACCTTGATGTTCTTCGTATGAACAGCTATTCTCTGCTCCTCATGTGAGAAATTCCAAGGCTCAAGAAATAGCAAAAAGCATAATTAAGGGGGGCTTCTGATTTCTTCTGTGCGATGTGCATTTTCCATTTGAAACAAGGGTTGTACGCTTCATAGTAGACTCTAAGATTGGGCACTCTTCAGCCCTGCTGTGGCAACTGCACAAATGTGAGAAAGCCATGTGAAACAAACAAACCACAAATGGGCTGGAGCGATAGTACAGCAGATATGGTGCTTGCCTTTCATGCAGTGGACCCAGGTTTGATCCACAGCACCCCATATGTTCTCCTGAACCCACCAGTAGTGATCCCTGAGTTCAGAATCAGTTATAAATAAACCCTGAACATTTTCAGCTGTGCCCAAACAACAAATACCGCAATTAAATCAGTCATACACATACTTTTATTTAGACCAATTTTTTTGTTCAGACTGCAACAGAACTGAGGCGTTAGACAACCAAAAATGCCCAGCCCAGTGCTCTTTCACTGAGCTTTATAGCTCTAGCACAGCTCCTAAAATCCTAAGGCAGAACCAAATTCTTATTTGGTTTTTGTCCCATGGGTGGGAAAGCGTGACGGTGACAGAGGGCAGTGCCCAGTGCCATTAGCAAATGCTGCTGCGTAGGGCTAGATAAGTTCAGGAGGAGCCTTTGTTTTATCAGAGCTGAGGTCACTTAGATTCCAAACCAGTCTCAGCTGGGCCAGCCACAAGCCATTGCAGATAGACACCTGCCACTCAGTGGCACAGGGACAAAACTTATTCCTGCCTCATTCCTCAGCTAAAAGGCCAGCTGGGGCTTGGGAGACTGAAGCTCTGAGGCCCAGTAAAGAGAGACTTAGAGGATGAATATGACCTGTGAGGCTCCTGGAGGCCTCCTGGGCTGCAGCTCCCATGTCCTTTCAGGCGAGTGACTGGCTATGTTGGGTGACGTTGAAGTTGGGGTAATCCTGCCTGGGCTTGGATGAGGTCAGTTGGTTCAGGCATACATGGTGAGTTGCAGCCACTGAAAGAAGAAGTTCCACGGTCAGAATGCAAGTGAGCCCAGCAGGTTGGACAGTGGCGGGGACTGTCTATGAAGCGGTCTGGAAAGTCCTGGGGCTTGAGACCCCCTTGGAGGGCTCCCCCATACACAGTGCCTGGTACCACATTCCTGCTCCCCTCTAGACTTGCTTCCTCACCACACTCTTAAGACATTCCGAACTGAGCTGTACGCAGTGGGTTGCCTCCCTCTCTGCTGCTGCTTTTATTTTTATTTATTTTTTTGGGGGGGGGGCTTTTGGGTCACACCCACCGAAGCTCAGAGGTTACTAATGGCTCTGCACTCAGGAATTACTCCTGGGGTGCCAGGGATTTAACTCGGGTCAGCCATGTGTAAGGGAAACGCCGTACCCATTGTACTATCGGTCTGGCCCTGCTGCTTTCTTTACCTCTAAAACGTTGAGTTTGATGATCCCGTCTCCATCCTTGTCAAATGCATTGAAGGCTCCTGTGTGGACAAATGCACAAGCCAGAGAGCAGTTACTGTACTCTCCCCTCCACTGCTGGAGCTCTTTCTTTGTCTTGGACCAGACCCAGTCCTCCTCAGAGGCTATTCCCAGTTCTGTGGTCAGGGTCACTCCTGGCAGTGCTCAGGCCTTCTGCATGCTATGCATGGGCCCAGCCCCACTCAGTCCTAGTAGCAACCTAAGAGGACCTTGTGCTAAGGGACTCTCCAGCATATAAATATGCCAGATAGGTCACCAGTCACCCTCGGCCACCCTGTTCTGAGCCTTTGCCTTTGTTCAACCTGGATGAAGTAGGTGAGAATTTCTTTTTGTTAGTTTTAGAGCCACATCAGTGGTTCTGGGGTTCAACTCCAAACATACACAAAGCCTGAACTTGGGGCTGGAGCAGTAGCACAGCACGTAGGACATTTGCCTTGCACGCGGCCAACCCAGGTTTGATAGTCCCCTGAGCACTGCCAGGGGTAATTCCTGAGTGCAGAGCCAGGAGTAACCCCTGTGCATTGTCAGGTGTGACCCCCCCCCCAAAAAAAAAACCCAAGGCCTGAACTCCAGCCCACTGAGCTCTCTCTGGCCCTAGTGGATGGGAAGAAGATTGGACTGAGGGTTCTTGGAAGGGCAGGAGTGGCCAGGAGGGTTCTCCTACGTACTGAACATGCCCTCCAGCCTGACAAAGCAGCAGATGAAGCTGTCGAAGTCGATGTTCATTTGTTTATCCGCATACCGCATGGTGATGATGTCGTAGAGCTGGCTGTTGAGGTGGAACCCTGCAGGAGGAACATGCAAGAGAGGAGAGAGGGCCGGAGTCCTTAGACCCTGCTTCTGGGAAAGGAATGCCGGGGTCCCTTTCTCTCTGATCCTCTGGTTGGGCCCTCAAGGCCTGGTCCTCCCCTTACATTCCTTTTCCCCTCCAGCTCCATCCCCATCGCCCACCCCTCTGTTTCTCAGCACCTGCATCATTGACTGCATTGCGCATCTCATAGCTGTTGATGGTGCCAGAATGGTCTGTGTCATAGCATTTGAAAATTTTCTGGCAAGAGAAAATTAGAGGACTAAGATCATACCATGAAGCCCCTGAATCACTTGAGTCCTCCCAGCCATGGGTCATCCCCTCTCCCCACCTGCCAGGCCTTAATCTTGTTCCAGAGGTGATGGAACTCTTGCAGATTCAGTCTCCCAGAGCCATCCGTCTGGAGGAAGGTCAGGGCTAACAGCACAGAGCGAAACCCCCCAGCATGAGGTTTCTAGGGGGCTCTGCGGGGAAGGGGGTCCCATAGGAAGGATGTTGGTGTCGGGGGGGGGGGAATCCAATGCCTCATGCTGGCCTATTATTCAATCCCCCAACAACTCTAGTGCCAAAGTTAGTGCCATCCCCCCTTCCCCCCCAATGCAGGGCGCCTGTCTCCTCAGCCCTGTTTGCCTTTGTGGGGCTTTTGCGAGTCCCTATGTTCTTCTGCTGCCCCCTTCCAGCCCAGATGTGCATTCAGGAATTGCTCCTGGCAGTGCTCGGGGGACCATATGGGATGTTGGGAATTGAACCTGGGTCGCATACAAGGCAAACGTTCTACCCGCTGTGCTATCACTCCAGCCCCTGCTCTGGATCCTTGACATCTCTCCTCATGCATGGCTTTGTACCCCGCTGCCTTCCTGGGTGCCCCTCATGCTCTGGCTCCTGCAGGCTGCTGGCAGCTGGTGACGGGTGGGAAGGATACATCCATGAGCGCAATCATGCTGCGGCACGACTCCAGAGTGAAGCCCAGCGTCTTCAGGTCTTTATCTGGGAGGCGTGGGGAGAGTGAGGGGGTGCCAGCCCAGCTCCGGGCCCCTCCTGCTCCTGCCCCCCAGCAGCTCACGTTTGTTCACCACAGTGTTAAGGACGTTCTTGAGCTCATCGGCACAGATCTCCATGTCCTGGAACGGGAGAGAGGACAACTGGCTCCACTGAAGCGAGACACGCATTCGCTCAAGTGGAGCCAGGGGGCCAGGGCCGCTGCCTCCTCGGAGCTCCTCAGAGCAAGACACGTGGCAGCGGGGGACCTGAGGCTCAGGCTTCATGGCCTTGATTTGTTCCCCCTGGGTGGATGATGCATTCTGATCAAAAGTGCCACTGATTTCCTCTCTAGAATGACATTGCTGACCATGTGAGTGTTTCGCCAGGCTGGGGAGCTGGGCCGGGATGTGAGCTGGGAGCTGAGCCTGGGAGCTTGTCTGGGAGCTGGGCTGGGAGCTGAGTCTGCAGGTGGCTTGGGAGCTGGGCTGGGAGCTGAGCTTGGGAGCTGGGCTAGGAGCTGGGCCTCGGAGCTGTGCTGGAAGCTGAGCCCGGGAGCTGGGGCAGGGGCCTGGCCTGAGCCCTCACCTCCCCTGCAATCTGCCGGAAGATGTTCTGGAACTGCTGTTGCTCGTCACTCTCCTGTTCAGAGCTATCAGGTCGCATCTGTGGAGTACAAAAGAAGTTCTTGGTGCTCAGGAGATGGGCTAAGAACATTTCTTTTAAATTATTTTCTAAAATTCACCACAATCTATAAACTTTCTGATAACAGTTTCAGGCTTCTAATGTTTCAACTCCAAACTCCCCACCAGTAACCCCAGGCCCCACCCACCTGCCTCCTTAGCAAACTCGTGTTTTAAAAAATTACAGTGCTTTGGGTCACATGCTTGCACTTGTGCTGACTCATGGTTTTGGTGCAGGTGCCTCCCCCCACATCACCAAAATGACCAAGACCCCTGACCAGGGCTCTCAAGTTATCGCCAACTTGCTTCCCCCATGTCCTTCCCTCCCCCACACTATTCTCCTCCTTCCTCACCATCCCCTCCCCCGTACCCCTTTTCTTAGCATTCTCATTTCTGAAATCCAGAGAAGGAAATTCCCTTTGGGTGAAAGAGCTGGAGGGCCTGGCTGGGCTCTGGGTGCAGGCAAATCTCTTGGCTTCTGGGCATCCTCTCTTCTTTCCCTACGGGCTACAACCCCCATCCCCCCCCACACTGGCTGGGCCTGGGTATAACACACATGAGCCCCAGCAGGACAAGCAGGGATGGGCCCTTCAGTCTCCCTGGCTGTCGGCTCAGAGCCGGAGCATCCTGGGTTGGGTAAAGCTCCGGGCTGGAGGCGACGCCTTGAGTCTGCTGGGGACTTACCCTTCACTGCTGCCACCAAGCTTTGTGTGGCCAGTGGACTTGGCCATCCCCTGAACTCTGCGTGACTCCCATTTGGATGGGAGTCCCCTTAGTTGCTGCCATTTTTTGGTCCTCCACCCCAATATCAGTGACCTCAGGCAACAGAACATGTAGGTGGGTCCCAAGCTGACTCTTGGCTCCCCCTGTCATCCATGTTTCCCCTCTGTCTGCCATCCATGTTTCCTCCCCGCACCCTCCCATTTCCATCCTCTCTCCAGCTAGCGAGGCTCCTGCGGGACACTTCTTTTTGTTCTTCCCGGGCCCAGGGTGGGATGGTGGCTGTGAAGAAGCCATTGGCCTCTGAGACAATCAGCCAAGCCACAGCCTTAAGTTGAAAACATGACAGAAAATGCCAGCAGCACCGATCTACACTGCTAGGTGACAAAGGGACACCCTGCCTCCGTGGGCCCCCAGTGCCCATGCAACCCGAGGGCTTAGCAGGACCCCATTTGCATGCTGATCCCATTTAAGCCACATGCTCAGAAACCTGTGGGGATTTCTCTTGTTTATCGGGGCTTGTTTTGTCTTTGCCCTCCTCTGTGTCCAGTTCCTTGTTGCTGTTTGCTCTGTCCGAAACGAAGATGATGGGCTGGAGAGAGGATGGAAATGGGAGGGTGCAGGGAGGAAACATGGTTGGCAGGCGGAGGGAGGAGCACAGGCAGGGGGTGGAGTGCCGGTGAGGGAGGAGCACAGGTTGGGGAGGAGCTCAGATGGGGGAGCACAGGGAGGGAGAGTACAGGTCGGGGAGGGGCTCAGGCATGGGGAGAAGCCTGGGCAGAGGGAGGAGCACAGCGGGAGGAGGCAGCCTCCCTCCCCGAGAGCAGCTTTATTCAGGGAGCAGGAGAGCAGTTGTTCACTCAAGCTCTGGCTCAAGCTCTGCGTTCTGCCATTAACAAGCCAAGAAACTTGGGGAAGATGCTGGATCTCTCTGGACCTCAGTTCCTATCTCCCTCCTTGGAGTTAGGAAGAATAAGTCAGCTAGGATCTGAACATGCTAAGAATGCACCAGAGTGGCATGATTTAGTAAAGTGGTCTAAAAACACTCTGTGGCCTTGTTTCCCATCAAATTAGAAACACTGTCAAATTGAATTTCCCCAAAGCCTCAAAGCCTGACAGTATAGAGTCATTTAAGAGAGTATGTGTGAAGAAGAGAGCAGAGCTTGTTTCCCTCACCGGCACTCCTCCCCTGCTTGTTTCCTGTATCAGTATGACAGCTACTTCCAACCCATTTCTGCAAAGAACAGATTTAAGGGGAAAAAATGCCTTTGGCTAATGGCTTCGTCAAAGGGAAAGAGCCTCTGTTTACTCATGTGTTACTTGGGGGTGCTAATGCCTGTCTTACTCTCCTTATGGAGATCAGTGAGATAAAAAATGGAAAAACTGTACCCTGAGAACATTCAAGGCACTCCTCAGATGACAGAAATATTCCAAGACATGCTCATGCAGTTGAGGAGGGGACAAAGGACTTCCCGGGGTGCTGTCCAAGCCAAAGGAAGCCAAAGGAAGGTGGGGTGCAGGGGCTGAAGGGCAGAGGTGCGGGTACAGTATGGTAGGCACTCTAAGTTGTGCCCATTTGGGAACCCCTCCACCCCCATGGATCCTTCATCACCCTAAAACCTCCATGGCCTGTGGCTAATTGCTCTGAGGGCTGAAAGGTTCCTGAATGTCAGTCATCTCTGACCTTCTGAGGGGCCAGGATGCCCGTTCTTTGGGACTTCCCTGCCTTGGAGACCATGGGGGAAGTTACGGGGTAAATGGAACAATAGCGGAGTTAGAGGGAGTTGGAGTTGTCTCGAGTTCCCCAACTCAACAGAGAACTATGCTTGCTACCCAGTGAGTGCTTTGCTCGAGGCCCCAGAGAGGCTCTTCTCTGGTCACTGTTAGCAATGGAGGCCTTAGAGCAGAGGGTGGTACCCAGGAACCCCCAAAGGGGCTGTTGGAGGCACCCAGAGTTAGAGGAGGACAACAACTACCCAAGTTGTGAGGAGCGGGTGCTGTTGCAAGAACACTCATTCCCTCCCACTTAATCTGTGGAGCTGAGCCATTCCTCTGGGGCCTGGGGACGATTGTTCCCCATCCCCCTGCTCCATCGGGACACAAGTAGCAAACTGAGGAAGGGCCCATGATTTGGAAAGGGCCCAGGTTCCGCGTGAGTGCTCACTGCCCTAAAAGGGCAAGAGGCTTTACCCAGAATAAGACCCTGTCTGGGGCTTAGTCCCCCAGGCAGCCTCTCCCACCCCTTCCCAGAAGTCTGAGCAGGGAGATGAGGAGTGGAGAGAAGGCAGGAAAATAAGGAAGGAGAAGGAGGCATCCTGTCCACTGAGCAGAGGGCCAGTGTCAGCACACCTGCCCTCCCCAGCTGTCTCACAGTCCTGAGGAACAGGCCCTTCAGGAATGGCTCAAGTGAGCCAAGCACACTTCTGAGAAGTTTTCTTTGGGCTTTTACACCCCCCACCCCTCCACACACACCCCGCTCCCATTTTCACTAGTTTTGCTGTCCTCTCCCTCCCTATCCATGTGAGTGACACAGCAGAGGCCACCAAGCTGATGTTGGCTCTGTCACTTGTCTGTGTAGCCTTGGGCGGGTTAATGAAGTGCAGGGGCTACCAGTAGCGCATTCTCCTGGAGTTAACTCATGGGCAGCACCTGGGGGTGACTCTGGCGCAGGTTAGTGGTCACTGGTACAAAAGCAGGGCCCAGGGACAGGAGCTGGAGGCTGGAGGGTAAGAGTGTAGAGCGCAGAGATGCAGCTGCTCGCTCCCGCACCTGCATGCATTGAGAGGGCGCTCAGCGCTCACCCCCTTACACTCACCTTGGCTTTCTTCTTTTTCTGCACAGAGAAAGGAAGCAGTAAACCCAGAATTAGTGATATGGTAGTGTTTCACTTCCCTGTCACCTGGTCCTCAGCTTGGGGTAAGGTTCCCAAGGTTCAGAAATTGGGACATAGGGAGCTAGGAGGGACTCAGACGGTGATGGGACAAGGGGGTTTTCCAGGTCCCAAGGCTGCTGTGGACACAGCCTCGAAAAGGATCTTCTGGCTAAGGCTTTATGCTGCCTAATGATAGTACTGAAACGCTACTAAGGCTCAACTAAAGCAGGACTTCAGAGTTTTGTGTTTACTGGGTTTGGGCTACATCCAGCTGTACCCGGGTGACCCCTGGTGGTGCATGAGGGGGGAACTATATGGGGAATCATATGAGGTGCCAGGGATCAAACTGTTTGGCTATGTGCATGGTGTGAGTTGTAATCTCTGCTATCTCTCCACCTCCTGTGTTGTTGCTTTTGGCCTGGAATAGAAGGGAAGAAAACCGACCAGCAGAAACACAGCAGTATAAGGCAGCGTGTGGAGCATATGCTCTTTTTGCGGGGTTGTTTGTTTTTTGGGGGAGGCTATCCCTGACAGTGCTCAGGGCTTATTCCTGACTCTGTGCTCGGGAATCACTTCTGGTGGGTCTCGGGAGACTGTTTGTGGTGCTGGAAATTGGGAACTCAGGTTGGCTGTGTGCAAGGCAAGAGCCCTGTCAGTCACACGCTCTCTCTAGCCCTAGTACTCATTTTCTTTTTTCTATGTTAAAGTATCACTGCACGGTAGCACTGTCCTCCCGTTGTTCATTGATTTGCTTGAGCGGGCATCAGTAATGTCTCCATTGTTAGACTTGTTGTTACTGTTTTTGGCATATTGAATACTACGTCACAGGCAGCTTGCCAGGCTCTACCGTGTGGGCGGAATACTCTCGGTAGCTTGCTGGGCTCTCCAAGAGGGGCGGAGGAATCGAACCTGGGTTGGCCACATGCAAGGCAAATGCTCTACCTGCTGTGCTATTGCTCCAGCCCTATGTTAAAGTAAACATTTATTTTTGTCTTTTTTTGTTTGGGGGCCACACCCAGCAGTGTTTGGAGGCTACTCCCAATTCTGTGCTCAGGGGTCATTCCTGCTGAGCTCAGGGGACCATGGGTTGGACGCAGACCTCCTGCATGCAAAGCATGTGCTCAGCCAGCTGAGCTAGCTCTCTGCCCCCTGAGCAAATATTTACTCTAGAAAGGCTTCATCTGGAAAAGCTGGTTTGGGGCTTCCTTTGTGAAGTGAGAAGCCACCCGCAGCAATGACTGTGGAGTGGCAAGAGCTATGGACTGTCCCTGACTTCCCTGAGTATCATCACAAGATCACAGCAGACACTGGCCACTCCAGTTGTCTTTCTGACATTAATGTCCATATCAGGACACCAAAATCCCCATCCCTGCCCCCTCTCCTCAGTTAGGTGACGTGCCATTCCCATTAGTTTCTTTTTACAAATTGTTCATTTTCTTTCTAATTATTTAATGAGCACTAGAAATAGAATTACTTAATGTCCTTGACAAAAATTTATGGTTCAATGTGAACCACATGTTGAACCTTGATTCCAAAGTCTTAAGTTCCTATATTATAGTCACTACTATAATAGTAGGAACATACTTAGTATTAAATATACATAGTGTGTAATAGTAAGGCATCTGAAGAACTTAACATTCCAAGTTACAATGGCTGTGGATAGTGTTTATTTACTTTTATAACAAGTCTTTAATAGACAGTTGCACAATCCTGCTCACGCAGACATTGTGGTACTTTCTTTCTTTTTTTTCTTTCCTTTTCTTTTGGTTAATTTTGTAATTGAATTATCGTGAGATATGCTCCCAGTAGCTTCTGAGACTGCAGCTCCTGATAGTCTGCCAAGTCTGAAGTTAAGAATAGAGCTGAGTGCCCGTCAATAAGACCTGCATCTGTGGCTAGTCAGGGGCACTTGGACATCTGGCCGGGGCACAGAATGGTTTAGTGCCATGAGTGTCATTACCCAGAAGACAGATTAAGGCAGAGGTGTCTGCCATCTCCTGGGATCCACCCGCAGAGCATGAAGGCCTTTATTAACCAGAATCCAGAGCCCAAAGCAAGCACAGAGACCCCAGTACAGCCCAATTCTGTGCTTCCAGCTCTGGGTCTCACATCCCTGGAGACTGTCCCCAGTATGGAACTGGGGTGGTGGCCAGATCTGGATGTGAATCCACCTTTGCCTTTTAACCCCACGGGGCCACAACTTGCTTACTTGAAAACCAGGGACAGTAACTTTATTGCAGGGCTGAGGATGTGGCTCTATGATGGAGCACTTGTACTGCATGGGTGAAGTCAAGGGTTTGATTATATCCCTTTAAATTAAAAAAAATTTTTCTAAATAGCCTTATTTGGGCTGGAGTGATAGTACAAGAGGTAAGGCACTTGCCTTACACACAACCAACTCAGGTTCATTCCTGGCATTTCATATAGTTCCCCGAGCACTGCCAGGAGTGATGCCTGAGGGCAGAACTAGGAGTAACCCCTGAGCATTTCTGGATGTGGTCCCAACAATCTCTCCTACAAGTCCCATCCCTCCAAATCTTATTGTATCTCAGATCAATCCATGAGAGGTATGTGTGAGAAGGACCTTGTAAGATGCTAAGCATGAAGAATAAGCCCTATCTGAGAGCCTGTGCTGGGCCCAGGCTTCACACATGTGTGTTGAGTCAAACCTCACAAAAGCCTTGTAAGGTCTAGGTACTATTTGGGGAGGGATTTGGGCCACACCTGTTAGTGCTTGGAGATCTCGCCCAGTGGTGGTCGAGGGATCAAGGTATTCCAGGGATCTGCAGCTGAATGTAAGACAGGGCCCCTACCTCCTGTATTCTATCTGGCTCTATATTTTACACAGTAGCAAAATGAGCCCAAGGGTTACATGACTTGTCCAGTGGCTGCAGAGCTGGTCTGCTGTCTTCTCCCTATGTGAGACAGTGCTTCATGTGCCTAGATTAGAGGCTGCTCTCCCATCACTGCCGTAGCTGTGGTTCTACCCTTGACTAATCAAATTGCTGATTCCTTCTAGGATTCCTTCTGGAGTGGTAGCATAGTGGTTAGGGCATTTGCCTTGCACGCAGCCGACCTGGGTTCGATTCCTATGTCCCTCTCGAAGAGCCTGGCAAGCTACCGAGAGTATCCTACCCACACAGCAGAGCCTGGCAAGCTCCCTGTGGTGCATTCAATATGCCAAAAACAGTAACAAGAAGTCTCAAAATGGAGACGTTACTGGTGCCCCCTCGAACAAATCGATGAACAATGGGAGGACAGTGCTACAGTGCTTCTAGGATTCTTCTGTACTTCCAACCATGGACCTATTTAATGGTCACAGGCCTGTGGGCCCAGTCATTATTCCCAGTCCCACAAAACAAGGTGCAAGGACATGGAGTCACTGCTCACCTCACATTCCTGTCTCCCTTCTACCACCCCTGCTCCTTGCCTGGCTGGGGGGGAGGTGACCCTTTGGACCTTCCTCCACATAAGAGCCAAACTACTCACCACTGGACGGTCCACGGAGATAGTGTTTTCAACATCCCTGTGAGGAACACAAAACATTGGGGTCTCAGGGTTGCCAGGAGCCAGTAGAAAGCACAGAACTTGCTCAGATCACACGAGTCAGGTCTGACCTCAAAGAACCCCAGTAACTGAGATTCTCCACCCCAGGGGACCATGCAGTGCCATGCTGAGCAGCCACCCAGTCATTGCTGGCTCTGTCTAGAGCTCCCCAAAGGCAGGGCTCACTTCATCCCCTGGACCTGAGTCCCTCTTAGGATTGAGGGCAGCATGGCAGAGCCTTGGGATTTAGCTGGGGTGGCCATGAGGGTTAAAAGTGCCTGGCTGGCTTGCCTAGACTCCCTACCCACAAGTTCAATCACCCCTATCACCCTAATAGTTGCTAGCCCTCTTTCCTACTGTTTTATTCCCCATATTTGTGTGTGTGTGTGTGTGTGTGTGTGTGTGTGTGTGTGTTGGAGGGGCACAGATAAATAGATAGATCTTTTCTTCATCTTTTTTTTTTTTTTTTTTTTGCTTTTTTGGGTCACACCCAGTGATGCTCAGGGGTTACTCCTGGTTCTGCACTCAGAAATTACTCCTGGCAATGCTTGGGGGACTATATAGGATGCTGGGGATTGAACCCGAATTGGCTGCATGCAAGGCAAAGGCCCTACCCACTGTACTATTGCTTAGGCCCCTAGACAGATCTTTTCCTATCTATGTTATCTCATGCTAGAATGTCAGGCGCCATCCCTGTTACGGCAGTGTTTCTGCTCCATCCTCTGTTCTATCCTCAGCAACTGAAGAGGTGTCTGGAGCATAGCAGATGCTCAATAAGTGGGGGAGGGGGCTTGTGGGAGAGGCCCTGGCCTCCTCCGTATGGCCTTGGCCTCCTCTGTGGGACCCACCGAGCACCCCTCTGGGTCCTGCGGGCTTTGGGAATGAGCAGAGGCAGCCAGGCCGGGACTCACTCAGAAAGGTTCCTCTTCTCTGAGAAGACCCGGAGAATGAACTCTCCCTCCTGGTGGGGCTCGTAGGTGGAGGGCACGATGACGTACTCGCTGGGAGGCAGGCGGAAGCGCTCCGACACTTCCCGCATGTTGATGTAGGTTCTGCTGCGGGCCTTGGAGGCATTGTACAGGAAAAAATCCTTCTGCAGGTGCTGCCTGTTCCCATGCATCTGCGGGGTGAGAGCCGCTAGCCTGAGCCTGTCCTACCGAGCCTGAGAGCGCCCCCTTCCCTGGCACCGTCTGCCCCCTTTCCTCTTCCCCTTCTGAAGTGATTCAGGTCTGTCTCTCCCCCTCAGGGAACTTACCACCACTGCATCACCTCCAAATCTCCTCCAGGCCAGGCTGAGCCCCAGGGAGACAGGAGGTCCTTGCTGTTGCTGGAGGGAAGTGTCTCCTCCTCCACAGAGGGAAACGTCCCTCAGCAGTATCCCCCTGACACTGTGAGGACGTGAGACACCGTGTGGGGGGTACTGGGGTATAGGAGAGTAGGCGCCTCGAGGTATGGGGTGGGGGGTTTCACACAACTGATGAGGCTCCTCACACACTAGAGGTGGGGCCTGTGACAAGATTCCTCTCCTCGCTGAGTCCTGCCGCCCACCCTGTCCCCATAGGCAACCCAGGACTCAAGACCCCAGGAACTATACGGTACTCCACTGCCAGCAGCGGCCACTGCTGTACCTCTTTGGGGACCTAGAGGAGAGAAAGAAAAAGAAGACGAGGCATAAAAGCCTCATCAAAGACTTGCAGGAAGGAAATGCCTGAAAATGGGTTGCGACTCCTGGAGGTCCCCCCTCGTGCTCATGGAACAGCCTCGCTCCAGCCCTCCTCCCCAGTCCTTTGTTCCTCATGACAGAGGCCTAAGGGATGCTAATGCCAGGAACTGGGGTGGAGGGGACCGGGGGACCCTCTGAATGTCTCCCGAGAGCCTCCTCCATCAGAGTGTGTCTCGCTGACAGGAGTGATCGGGGTGTGGGCACCTCATAGATGGCGAAGCCAATGGTGAAGAGATTGGCCCCTAGCTTGCGGTCCTTGCGCCGGTTCTTTTGCATCAGGGCCACTAGGAAGCTGCAGATCACCTCAGAGTCCTCAGGGTCGTCGTCTTCCTCCAGCAGCTTCAGGCGGTACTGGGGGTTGGTCCAGAAAGTGTCTGTGCTTCCAAAAGGAAAAGAGGTGTGTGCAGGAAGGGAGGGAGGCAGGGCCCCTTGGCTCTTTCTCTTAACAAATAAGGCAGCCACGGTGCAGAAGGTCTGATTATGTGATGACTGGGATGAGGCCACAGCAGGGAAGGCTCAGAGGGTCTTCGCGCTCCCCACGACCCCTCCCAGCCTCCTCCTTCCTCCTCAGTCTGTGCTCAAGGCTCCACTTTCTGACAGGCCTCTTAAATGCTGCTGGTCCACTGATGGACCTGAAGTAGCATACATTTGTTTGGGTTTAACATATATGTTTGTAATCTTTTATACAAGGGCTTAAATGGCTCCAGGATGAAATACAACAATCTTCACACACTTTCCTCTTATGATTGATGGGATGGTGCACGGTGGTGAGATTGGTGTTTGAATATAATCTGTAATGAACTATTGTGAACAACTTTATAAAAATAAAATTTTAAAAATGCTGCTGGTCTCTGGGGAGTGGTCCTAACCTCTTCTTTCACCCTCTAATTCTGCCCTCACCCCAGGCTGTCTCACCCACTTCCACTTTCAGCTGCTCCTCACACACTGATTACACCTCATCCATGTGTCCCTGCCTCAGTCTCTCTTTGAATCCCTCCCTCTCTCCCTCCCTCCCTCCCTCCCTCCTTCCCTCTCTTCCTCCATTTCTCCTTCCTCCCTCCCTTCCTTCCTCCCTCCCTCCCTCCCTTCCTTCCTTCCTTCCTTCCTTCCTTCCTTCCTTCCTTCCTTCCTTCCTCCCTCCCTCCCTCCCTCCCTCCCTCTCTCAAATACTATCTAGCTCAGTCATATAACCAAGCTATCTAATCTGTGATTCCAACTCGTACACATTTTCCCCGGGTATTTCAAATTTCCCATGCCCTAATGTGAACTACTCTCCCTACAAACCCACAGCCAATCCCACCAAAAACAAACACTTGAGTTTTTCCTTTTGTGCCTTTTATTAACATTAACACCATCCTCCCAGGCCCCCAAAGTCTCCATTCTTCCTTCCCACCCTACTCACAATTCTCTCCCCTAAATCTTCATCCCTCCTTCCCCTAACCTCCGAAGCTTCTGACTTCGGCATGAAGGGTTGCAGAGCCACTCCCTCACCCTCCCGTCCCTCTTGGTCTAACAGTGTCCCTGTTGCAAACTGTTGAATATGGCGTTTTCCGCCCCAGAATAGACTGTGTGTGTGTATGTGTGTGTCGGGGGGGTGGTGCTTCACAGACACTGAGTGAATGCTGTCAGGCCATGCTACCCGGGGCCTGCCCTTCCCTGGCCCTCCCCCTTCAGGAGCATGCCCTACCTGGGAAGTTGCGGCAGCCCCCAGCGGAGCAGCCCCGCACCCAGCGGCCCTCATTCACAGACACTGTCCAGGTCTGGAGGTTGTCAGACTCCAGGGCGTCGGCTGTGAGGTTGCAGATCTCCAGTTTTGTGAAATGGTAGATGAAATCATCGTAGGACATCCTAGAAGGAGGTAGGAGAGAGCTACTCAGAGCTGTAGGGAAGGGCTAAGGAGGACAGCTGCAGACCCCGGCACAGTGCTTGAGCAACATCAGCATCACAGTCCACAAAGCACCTGCCCCTCCTGGTGAGGGTAGCACTTGTAGCATTGTCCTCCCATTGTTCATCAATTTGCTTGAGCGGGCCCAGTAACGTCTCCATTGTGAGACTTGTGGTTACTGTGTTTGGCATATTGAATATGTTACAGGTAGCTTGCCATGCTCTCTGAGAGGGGCAGAGGAATCAAACTCAGGTCGGCCAGCTCGGCTGTGTGCAAGGCAAATGCCCTACCAGCTGTGCTATCGCTTCAGCCCTGGTGAGGGTAAGTACTGTCAATTCTGATATGCTCATCCCAAACTCTCATCTCGTCTAGTCAATCAGGACTCTAGGGACTGGAGTATAGCACAGTGGGTAGGGCATTTCCCTTGCACATGACCAACCTGGGTTCAATTCCCAGCATCCCATATGGTCCCCCAAGCACTGCAAAGAGTAATTCCTGAGTGCATGAGCCAGGAGTAACCCCTGTGCATCACCAGGTGTGACCCCCCAAAGAATCATGACTACTCCACGCATCTCCCTTGAGGGGAGGGGAGAGTTGAACAGTGACTGTTTCTCTGAAAGGTTGCCGTGTTCCTCACAAATGGGCCCCAGGTACTGCACTGGCCCAGGGAAAAGGAGGGGAGAGTGTAGAAAGGCAAGTAAGCAATCATAAAGGTAGTAGTTATAGTTACAAATGTATTCACCCTTTTACTTAGGAAAACCAGGGAATCTGAAAAAAGATTCCTTTTAGAAGGGGCTTGAAGGCTTAGAAATTATGTGAAGGTGGTGGAGGGTGACACAGAGGAAACATCAGCCTCAGTCAGAGAGCTGCTGTGAGAAGGGGCTGGTGGCTGGAGCGAGGTGCCTGGCATGGGGAGGCAGGAGCTCCGCCAAGCTGGCCTGGTCCCAGGTCAGTCAGTCAGCACAGCGCCCTGACAGAATCTTCTAGAATTTCCTCCTCTCTGTGTTAAACCCCATTTTGTAGAGACTGCAATAATATTGAATTGGTAAAGAAAACTTCAGCCTCATACTGTGTACTGTAGGATCCAATGAGGATTGAATGTCTGTCTCTGGGGCCAGAGCAGGGAGGGCATTTGTCTTGTATGTGGCTGACCTGGTTCTATACCCATATAGTCCCCCGAGCACTGCCAGTGATTCCTAAGTGCAGAACCAGGTGCAATCCCTGAGTGCCACCTGATGGGATACAAAAAACAAAAAACCAAAATAACAACAAAAAAGTTTTGGGGGCTGGAGAGATAGTACAGTGACTAGGGTGCTTGCCTTTCACTTGACCAGTTCAGGTTCAATCCCCAGCATCCCGTATGGTCCCCTGAGCAACGCCAGGAGTAATTCCTGAGTTCAGAGCCAGGAGTAAACCCTGTGCATTGCTAGGTGTGACCCAAAAAGCCAAAACAAAAAGTTTGTCCCTGAGATTTACAGGCACCCATCAGTGCTCGCTCTGCATCTATGTGTTGACACTAACTCCCTGCTAGTCCCTGAACTTCGCCAGAAGCCAATCAGGCTCCCTGGTAAGTTCCAGGAATGTGTGTCCTGACCCTGAGCAGTGGAAAATAAATCATTTTCTCCCTTTCGACAATATGACTGTAACCATATCTCGTTCCCCTCATATCTCTTTAGGCCTCGAGGCAATGTTTTGGTTTATTCCAAACATTTGGTTTATTGCAGTTCATCTTGACTGCTTTTAATTGACACACTGGCATGTAGTTTCAGGGTACAAACGTGATTGTAATCCTTGAGTCATTTCTTGAGGATAAGAGGCCCTGACCCACTGCATGACATTTAGGGAGGACGTGGAAAGCTTCTTGTCCGTCTCTCCCATTTGGCTTCAGCGGTTCTCACTGAGTTTGGAAGAACTTGGGCGCAACACCTGGGCCTCTGGCTGGAGAAGGCGAACGGGCCCTGCTCTGCTGAAGCTGGAAGCTGAGTTCGGGAAGTCTGAAAATTTCAACTCCCTGTCACCTGCCTGCCCCACTGGGTTAGGGACTCACCAGAACTCGCCATCCTCAGTAACCAGGTGCTGCAAACGCGCCTTCTCTTCTTTGTCCACAAAGCTCCAGTCGTTCCAACTGGAAGGAAAATGCAGAAATCAGGGAAGGACGGGAAAGCCTATTTGTGGATGGGGTCAGGAGGCAGCAGAGAAGTGGGAAATTGCAATCCAACTTCCAGCTGCAGCCTGTGCTGATGTGTACCTGCCTCGGGGATCTGGGCCAGATGCCTTGAGTAAGTTGATCAGGGCTGAATCTTCCCCTCCTTACACTTCATCCTGACACCTGTGCGTACCACCAGTGGCTCACACTTGAATGTGACTTAATTAACACAAATTGCACTGCCTGAGTCATCATATTAAAGAATATTTCTTGGGCTCTGGAAATAAGCTGCGATCCAATTTAAGAATGCCAGTATTAGCATTGTAGCCTTGGGCAAGTCACTTAACTACTCCCAGTTTCTGTTTTTTCAGCAGCACAGGGGGAGTGATTATACCACCTACTCACTGGGCCTCCGGCTGCCAGGAGCAGTAAAGGAAGCATCATGCATGCAAAACCAGGGCCAACACGCGATTAAAAACTCACAGCTTTACTTATATAAAATTTATTTTATTTCCCCCCCTCCATATTTTGGGCTATACCCAGCGATGCTCAGGGATTACTCCTGGCTCTGCACTCAAGAATTTCTCCTGGTGGTGCTCAGGGGACTATATGGGATGCCGGAGACTGAAGCTGGGTCAGTTGCTTGGTAGGCAAGCATCCCACCCACTGTTCTATTATTGCTATACTATACCGAGCATGTCAACATCTCCTTTCTTTTTTGCCATCCCAGGAAATAGCCTTAACATTTCTAAATGGGAGGTTTTGTGCTCTTCATTAAGAGGGAGGAAATGGAGATCATTAGTTTCAGGCTGCTGGGGAGCAGGAGAGGAACTGAGAAAGGACTGGAGTCGAAGGAGTGGAGTAGACAGTAGACAGTAGAAGGATTGGAGTAGACAGTAGACAGTAGAAGGATTGGAGTAGACTAGAGGCTGGAGGAGACAGAAAGTGCTGAGAGCAGAGTGAGGAGGGTGGGAGAGGGGTGTTTTTGAGAGATCAAAGCCTAGTCTGCCCCTTCTCAGCAGTCCCTGTAAGGAAGACTTTGGCAAGAAATGAGTTAAGGCTAGACACCAAGTTGTGAGCCTGGAGAGCATGGGTCCCACCCTGTTGGACTCTGGCCAGTGGCATGGAGAAGCCCAGGGCCCAGAGCAGTGCCATGTTCTCCAGGCAAACTTTCCTTCATGTCAGGTTGAAACTAGGTATGTGTGTAGGGGTCCCCTACACGCTCCCTCCACCCTTCTCTCACTGTATATTAATGTTTTCTTGTCTGTTATTCCCACTGAATCTACAGACAAGCAGGGCCTGTGCCTCTGTGTTCATGTCTCAGTGTCCAGGCCCAGCCTGTCCTTGGCACCAAGGAATGAGGGATTCACCCCATGGCGGAGAGGAGGCAGCCAGGTATCTGCTGGAGGCAGCAGAGGACAGGCGTCAGCACCCACCGCCCAGACCAGAACCTACTGCTTATACCTGTTCAAAATATGTTCACCAGGTGAATGTGTGGTCCAGTGTGAATGTGTGGTTTTCCCCTCCTCCCTCCCTCCCTCCCTCCCTCCCTCCCTCCTTCCCTCCCTCCTTTCCTTCCTTTCTTCCTTCCTTCCTTCCTTCCTTCCTTCCTTCCTCCTTCCTTCCCTTCCCCTCCCTCCCTCCCTTCCCTCCCTTCCTTCCTTCCTTCCCTTCCCTTCCCTCCCTCCCTCCCTCCCTCCCTCCCTCCTTTCCTCCCTCCCTCCTTTCCTTCCTTCCTTCCTTCCTTCCTTCCTTCCTCCTTCCTTCCCTTCCCCTCCCTCCCTCCCTCCCTCCCTCCCTTCCTTCCTTCCTTCCTTCCTTCCTTCCCTTCCCTTCCCTCCCTCCCTCCCTCCTTTCCTCCCTCCCTCCTTTCCTTTCTTCCTTCCTTCCTTCCTTCCTTCCTTCCTTCTTCCTTCCTTCTCTTCCCCTCCCTCCCTCCCTCCCTTCCTTCCTTCCTTCCTTCCTTCCTTCCTTCCCTTCCCCTCCCTCCCTCCCTTCCCTCCCTTCCTTCCTTCCTTCCTTCCTTCCTCCTTCCCTTCCCTTCCCTTCCCTTCCCTTCCCTTCCCTTCCCTTCCCTTCCCTTCCCCTCCCTCCCTCCCTCCCTCCCTCCCTCCCTCCCTCCCTCCCTCCCTCCCTCCCTCCCTTCCTTCCTTCCTTCCTTCCTTCCTTTCCTTCCTCTATGCTCAGGGCTTACTCCTAGCAGGGCTCAAGGGATCCTTATGAGGTGCCCAGGGATAGAACCAGGGTCAGCCACATAGAAGGCAAGTGGCCTACACACTGTGTGGGACCCTTCATGTGTTTTATTTCTGTGCTCCTGAATCTTGCATTTTTGATGATAAAGCTGTAAAATGCTCTCTGTGGCCCCTTATATGCCTTTTTATGGGGCCAGCTAGGAAAAGGACATTTTAGCACTGGCTAAGTATGCCACGAGGTGCCCAGAGCCCTCGGCTATGCCCTCCTTAGCTCTGCAGGTGATTGGTTTTGGGTGATTCTGTTTTATTGTATCTCCCCTTCCCTTTTGCAGTGGCTGTTGTTGCGATGGCTGAGGGTTGCACCTCACAGCCTCCCGTAAGGATGATGAGCACGCCGTCCCTGAGCCCCTTCCTCAGTCCCTTAGGCTCATCTGAGATCAGGTGCTTGTAATAGTCTTGTGTGCCCAGGCCCCACTGCCCCCACTCACAAGGTCCCCTGCCTACCCATCGCTCCAGGCACCGTTCCACTCCACCTGGCCCCAGGGGTTCCGCAGACGCACCAGTTTCACTTTCTCATCCTTGAACAGAGTCTGTGGGTGGAAGGAAAACAGGGTCTTGGGGTTCACCTTTCTGGAAAAGCATCTTCTCTGTCCCTCCCACAGGGCAGGAACAGAGGGATTTGTCCTGCCTGGTTCAGGTCACAGACCTCCGTGGGAAGTTCCTGGTGGGTGGCAGAGTGAGGGTTTGACCTCACAACTGACTTGGCTCTTGCCAGTTCTTGTGAAGTGTTTTCCTGTGATGAGTTTTGGGAGACTGTGGACATGTGACAAACAGTGAAGACCCTCCCCGGGCCGTTCAGAGGGTGGCTGCTCTGGGCCCATCCTGCCATCTCCACCCATCCGAGAATAATAGGCCTGTTGAGCTTCTTTTCTCCTCATGACCAGATGTCCTAGAAGGGGCATGACACTATGGCTATGGGACCAGGGCAGGATGAGAATCACAAGAGCCTCTGAAATTAACTTTCTAAAATATAAGCAATTTCTACCTGCCCCATGGCAATGCTGGGGAAACTGCCATCTGCATCACAAAATTGAAAGACAATTGAGCTAATCTTATGCCAAATCCTTCCCTTCCTGTCTCAGCAGTCCCCATCCTGTTCCAGTGGTCCCTTTCAGCCTCTGGCACCTGGCCTTGAATGCATCCCCTGGTCAGAGGTAGGCTCTGCTGATGCCAAGAGGGCATAAAAAGCAAAGTCCTGGGGCTGGAGAGATAGTACAGTGGGTAGGGTGCTTGCCTTCCACTCGACCAACTCAGGTTCAATCCCCAGCATCCCATATAGTCCCCTGAGCACCACCAGGAGTGATTCCTGAGTGCAGAGCCAGGAGTAAGTCCTGAGCATCTCTGGGTATTGCCCCCCCTCATCCACAAAAGCACAAAGTTCTGACTTCAGGGGTCCCTCCCTGGCAACTCCCCAAGCTGCCCACCCTCCCAGGCTTACCTCGTCCAGCCCCGTCACTGAGTATGCATGACCTTTCACAAGGCCAGAGGCCATTCTTGTCTCATACTGAACCGGAACAACTGTCTGTGGAGCAAATACCAACAGCCTGTCAGGGGCGAGGGAGCCGGAGTCTTGCAGCCCAGAACCAACTTCACAGGATTTCATTTTCTGGGGAACTGTGTATCCTGGCTCTGTATTCAGAGATCACTTCTGCTGGGGCTCAGGGAATTATATATAGTGCTGATGCCAAGAGGGTATTAAAAAAAAGTCCAGGGGCTAGAGAGATAGTACAGTGGGTAGGGTGCTTGCCTTGTACTCAACCAACTCAGGTCCAATCCCCAGCATCCCATATAGTCCCCTGAGCACCATAAGGAGTGATTCCTGAGTGCAGAGCCAGGAGTAAGTCCTGAGCATCCCTGGGTCCTTTGAATTCAGGTCCACATGCAAGGAAAGTGCCCTACCACTGCCCTCTCTGGCCCTCAGTCTTTTTTTTTTTTTTAACATCCCTTCTCCACCTCCATAGCTACCCAGAAAACAAGTCGGTAGAGAAAGCAAGAGTGATGGGGCCTGGGCTGGAGTGATAGCACAGTGGGTAGGGCCTTATACGTGGCTGACCCCGGGTTCAATTCCCAGGATCCCATATGGTCCCCCGAGCACCACCAGGAGTAATTCCTGAGTGTATGAGCCAGGAGTAACCCCTGTGCACCCAAAAAGAAAAAAAAAGAGAGTGATGAGGCTGGGAGAGTCTGAGGAGGCAGGAACAGGAGTCCTTTTGGGACAAGACTGTGTGAGCAGCGTGGCTCACAGGGTGCCGGCCCTTCCACTGGCAGAGGTCCCCAAGTTGCAGTCACAGGACCTCCCTGGAAGAGGACCCCCAAATCTCCAGGATCTTCAGCATTCTATTTTGTGACTGCAGGAGGAGCTCCTGGAGTCACACGGGGCTATGGAGTCCCTGAAGCCTTTTTAGGCTGAGGGGCCGAGCTTCCGGCATCTTTGCCTCCTGCAGTTCTCAGTTCTCACAGACCTAGGTTCCAGACCTGGAAAGGGAGAACTGGTGGGGCAGGAGGTTACCGCGTGCTTGGAAAAGACCTGGGAAACCCCATGAGTTGATTCCCTGAGCACGGCTCCAGAAAGCCCCGCAATGCCAGGGCTGGCTTTCTGTTCTAAGGAATTCTTCCCAGCAGGCACAGAGAGGTCTCTAATGAGATGTATGTTAAAGCATCCAAAAACAATAGCAAAAATGAGAGGGATGACACAATTTTATAATATAATATAAGGATTATGGATATATAAATGATAACATGTGAAGCTACAAAACAAATGTCAGCGGGACACATTAAGAATAAGATTCTTACTGGGATGTTAAGAATAAATGATAAGCATTATATATTCTTAACATCATGGTATGTTATGTGCTGGAAAGAGCTCAAAGGGATGGAACATACATGAAGGAGGCCCCAAGTTCGATCCCTGGCACTACATGACTCCCGAATACTGCAGATATGGGTCTCATGGCCCCAAGTGCTGCTAGGTTGGATCAGTATCACATGGCTGGGCCTGAGCACTGAATCCTCTGGCCTGCACAGGAGGGCTGAGTACCACTGGAACTGGCCCCTCGGCCCCCTGAGTACTGCTAGGGAAGTCCCACCTCCAACACCACAAAAAGAGGATAAAGCTTGCTGACTAAAGCATCCTGCAAAGAAGTACATACAGAACAATGGCAAGATTATTAAAATTTTAGATTAAGGGTAGCAGTAGCACTAGCACTATCCTCCCGTTTTGTTCATCGATTTGCTTGAGTGGGCACCAGTAACATCTCACAACAAACTGTGAGACTTGTTGTTACTATGTTTGGAGTATCAAATATGTCACAGGTAGCTTGCCAGGCTTTGCTGTGAGGGTGAGATACTCTCAGTAGCTTGTGGGCTCTCTGAGAGGAGTGGAGGAACCGAACCTGGGTCAGCCGCATGCAAGGCAAATGCCCTACCCGCTGTGCTGTCGCTCCAGCCCAAATAAAAAAAAACAAAACAAAACAAAAAGCCCAACCACCCCCTACCCTCACCCCTCCAAAAAAAAATTACCTTTCCAACGATTCCAGTTTCCATATCTGGATTAGCTTTGTGAATCTATGGCCACAAGACTGTGAGCCAAGCACAGCAGTACTGGACCCAGAGGCCACTGAGCCAAAAGGCACAGTCCACGGGTTCCCAAGCCCAGAGCCTGATGGTCAGACTCGGAGCAGCCTGTCTGACTTTCCCGATGCATGTCCACGTCCACGCTGGCCTCAAGGGCCCATGCCCACCAGCCAATCAAACTCCATCAAGGCAACTCAACTCAGCACCATTCATCTTGAGCTATGTTTGACTATTATTCACTCCACTGTGTAAGCACATATACAATGATGTGAGCAATTTTAACAGATTCCCACTAATATCACTGGAAACCCAAAGCTACCGACACAGGGCCGTGAGTTCCAGAGCAGGTTGCTGCTTCCTGCGAACTAAAGTGAAGCTCTGGACACTAATAGCAGATTGGACCACAGCTTCAGAGGGAAAGGTCTGACTCTCAGAGGGAATCAAAAGGAAAGTTTTAAATAAAGCTGCGATTTGCTTCGTAGACTTAAGAAACACGAGAAAAATCTAAATAGATCTGGCAATGTTACTCCCAACAGATCTAAATTTCATCGACAGATACTTCACAAGTATGTATAGTTGCAAAATATATAGATGAGGTGTAATAATTCTTTTTATCTTTTTTTGGCTTTGGAGGCGATGCTCAGAGGTTACTCCTGGCTCTGCACTCAGGAATTACTCCTGGCGGTGCTTGGGATGGGATCGACCATATGGGATGCTAGGGATCGATCCTGAATCAGCCACGTGCAAGGCTGTGCTATCGTTACGGTCCCAAGGTGTTATAATTTTTAGATGACCAGTCTGATGAGTGCATTAAAGGATGACAAAGTCATAAGAACTGCTTGCTGTACCAAATCAATGCCAATAAAAGCTTCTCATAATAAAGTATTTTGTTTATATGATGCCTTTGTGAAAATTGTCTTTAAATGGGCTAACTCTTACCAATTCCTTTATTCTCAGCCACATTGTATTCAAGGGCATGATGAAATCACTGCTAATAAAACACAAATTTCAGCCAGTTTAAAACCTCAACCTTTCCCACTCTCCATGTGTGCTGGAAGGATTCTCTCAGCTCTTCATATGCATAGAAAAATCCTAGAAGAATAGATTCCAAAATGCTAAAACTCACTATCTTTTCAGATGGGGAACATCTCAGTTTCTTTTCCCTCTGCTTTTCTAAATGGTTCAGCATTGCTCAGTAAACATGCACATTTGAAAGGGCAGGATATGAGAAAAAGGTCCTTCTCTTGTTTACTAAAATTGTATTCAAAGGGGTGAAATTTTTCTGTAATGCTAGAAAAAAATTAGCACCTAGTAGGGACTTCATAAGTAATTATGTGTTGAGTGAATAGATAGGTTAGGAGAGGAAGAAATAGTGAAGTCTTTTATTTCTGCCTGTTAATTTATTACAGACTCCCTGAACCCAGGAAGTTGAAAAATCGCTCACTCACAGATTTCCCTCCAAACCCTGCTTCTCTGCCTCCTCGGGAGTCTGGAATCAGGTGGAGGTCTAGGTGTGTGGGGGGCAGGGTTGCCATCTGGAGGGGAGTCTAACAGCACACAGACAAGACAGCCCTCAGGCTGCAGAGAGACAGTGAATTTTGACACCTGGGGATGTACACACCCGTGTAGCTCTGTCATCTGGGAGGAGGTCTGAGTCTCCAAGTTGTGCATTATCCATATTCCTCACCATCCGCGCAATCAACTCTCCCATTTTCAGCCCAGAGGGAGAAGTTCCATAGGTCATGTTGGTGCCATCCTGAGGCCCGAGGGGTGGGACCAGAGCAGTGATGAACAGGGAGAGAGCAGACCAGGAGGGTGAAGAACAGGAAGTAGACAACAGGAAGGGAGAAAAAGAGAAAAAAATAAAGGATGAATGGAGAACAGCAGGGTAAAAAAGTTCACCCTTCCTTCCTTCCTTCCTTCCTTCCTTCCTTCCTTCCTTCCTTCCTTCCTTCCTTCCTTTCTTTTCCTTCCCCCTCTCTCCCCTGGTGCTAATTGATTTTCCCAAGCTTGTCTCTCTGTTGGGATATTGGGAAAGGAAGGAGAGATTTCAGCTGGGATCCTGGGCTCTCCTTTCCTCACAATAGGAAAGTCAAATGGGTTATCCACCTTGGACAGCCATTTAGGGCGGCCCCAGGCAGCTGTGAGTCAGCACCACCCATCCCCCCTACATCCATCCCCATAAGCCCTCTCCCCACACTTGCTTATGGTCTCAGTTCTTCCCACTTTGCTGTATCAAGAGGGGGGTTACAGGCTGAGTTCCTCCCAGATTATAACTCCAGCCCCATGACCCCTAGTGAAACATATGACCAGAGCTCAATTGGTAGGTGGCTTTCTTAGGGAGCTGAGGGGGTTCAGGTCCACAGCCAAGAATATAAGCAGCCTCCTGGGGTCTCACTGGGACTGACCATCCCCAGCCAGTGGGCCTCCCTGGCTGGACTCTGCTCCCATTCCCACCTAACTTTCAGGGTTTGGACTGTCCTGACCTAATCTCTGAACTGAAAATTCCTGGGATGTCTCCCCAGAGAAGTTCCTGATTTTCAAAGCTGAGGGCCAGATCCTGCTTCCCCCAAACAAAGCATGCACCTTGTCCTGGCAGGAAATCCCCCAAGAGGTAATCTGTGGGGTAAAATACTTCCCAATAGTTGACTGATTCCCTGCCCCGCACCCTGTACCCCAAACTCACATCAATGGAGCAGCCCATAAGGGAGCCTCTCTCGATGGCTTTCCTCATGATCTTGTACATGTCTCTGGGGGCATCCTTGATCTCAAAAAACTCTGTCACCCCTCCTGTGAAGTCCTCCATGGCCTCTGTAGTGTTTCCACCTTTCAGAGCTTCATAGGAACCATGGAGTCTTGAAGGAAGGTTGAAGACCAGTGTCACAAGGTTCCCCAAAACATGCCCCCATGCACTACTGCCACTAGAATTTTACTTTGGGTCCAATGAGGTTTTCTCATCCAATTCTCCATCATTGTGTAAACTAATCGGATAGGTACCATAATGCCCTGATGCCCTTGTACTGCAGTGGAGAAATGAGCTCCAGACTTGGGTCACAGTTTTATACAACACACACACACACACTTACACACTTACACACATACACACACATTTTGAGATCTCTTTTTGAGATCTCATCTGGATTTTGCAACCCAACTGCTTACCTCCAGCCCTGCCTCACAGTCTAAAGTGCTGCCTTACTTTGCATAAGCTTTCTCCAGGAGAGCACTCCAGAACTCATTGCGGTGGTTGGATTTGGTGAAGACCAGCTGATTGTTGTAAGTTGGCAGACAGTCATCGATAACCACGTCCACCCAGTATCCATAGCGCCAGAACTACATAAAAGTGTCAAGCATAGAGTTATATTCACTGGGAAGTGAGGCCCTGTTCCACAACCTGTTGAGGTCTCTCTGCTCCCCACACAGTGTCATTCCCCTGAATTTTCTCAGAAGTTGCTTGCTCCTACTATTTTGGGTTTGGGGCTATGTAAACCTTTCTCCAAGTGGACCATGCGTTCTTTGAGAGAGGTAATGAGTTACAAACACTTTGTCTCTTGCACAGAGCACAGCTCAGTTCTAGGGAAGGTAGGTGCTCCGTGAAGCAGTGAGGACTTAAGATGTTCATTCATTTGCTCAGAATTCTGGGCTGAGGTCTAGGCATTGGTACTTTCAGACACCTCAGCTGACTCTAATGTGTAGCTAGGGTTAAGAACTACTGTTCTAGGTAAAGGTGATGTATTGATTTACATGTCTTTGGATGACAGACAAGATAGAAGTTTCTGTTGAAAAAGAAAGAACATAAGAGAGGAAAGTAACCCAGAATATACTCTGCTTTTTGCTGAAACACTGTCCAATAATTTCACTTTGGGGTGGCTCTTTCTGTCTGTTTTGCTTGGAGGCCATGACTGATAGTGGTTGGGGCTATTTTCAGTTCAGTATCAAGGGACCATGTGGTGGTGGGGAACAAACCCAGGGCCCCACCATATAAGCATGCATACCATGGAATTTGTTGGACAGAAATAGTTTTAATTGAAGATGAAAGGTACTTCCAATAACATTTTCTCCTAAACTGAAAATGGGGCAAAAATCCAGTCTGATCTTTGTATTTATGGGCCTTAGGTATTGGACTATAATTATCCAAGGGAAATAAGCAGCTTGAAGGCACAGGAAAGAAATGAAGTCCAGATCCTGATTGTTTAGCCCAGGCTCAGAGGGCAGCAGATACTGACCCTGAGCAGAAGAGAAGATCTTGTGTGAGGCCTCCCACCTACAGGCACTCCGGAGACAGGAAGCCTGGAACTGATGATCTGGGTCAGTCCCAGAAAATTAGGAGCCTCTGGGGTCAGAGACAGACTTAAGTTTTTAGAACCCTTGAAAAGTAGCTGTGCTTCTCTCCTGGGAGGGAGCATAACACGACACACACTATAACCATGCTGTTAGATCCGCGCCAGGCTGTTTCATTTGGGGCACCCTGGAGGGGGGTGCCTCTCCACCCCAAGGGACTCAGCCCTAGCAGCCAGGAACCTACAGAATTCAACTGCCACCATGCTCATGGCTGCTCTTCACATGATCTGGCTGAGTCTCACCCACGAGTGAACCTATTCCTGGACCGTGTGGACACGAATGCACACCTATACTCCAAGAGTACCATGCTACATTTGATGGGGTTAAAAGTGGAGGCAACCAATTTTAGAGGGAAATATTTTTTCACAGATATATATATATATATATATATATATATGCACCAAGGCTTTGACAACATGTTAGTGATCTCTTATAAAAGGGCTTAATGGCCCCTGGGTGAAATACAACAATATTCACACTCTTTCCTCTAAGAAAACTTTTTGGTATCATTTTTAGCAATTTTTCATAACAAACAATGCAAAATAAATTATTTTGGTTCTGCTTTGGGGCAGGGGTTAGGGTTTGGGATGGAAACATCAGAAATATGGTGATGGAAATGGTGTTGGGATTGGTGTTTGAATATTAAATGTAATCAAATATTGTGAACTACTTTATAAAATTTTTAAAAATGACCACAAAATAAAAAAAAGAAAAGAAAAGAAGAAAAGAAAAGAAAAGTAGTTGCTGGGCTACTATGAGGAGCATGCGAAAGTCATTTCTGTTCTGGGCCACCACAGGGATTTGGCTCTATGGCAGGGCCCTTCAGATGGGGAAAATTTTCAGTGACTGAATTGATTCTGGGGCCAGAGTCTCACTTCTAAGCCCAACTAGATTAACCAGATTGTTCTTCTAGGGCCAGAAGGGATAGTGAGAGACTTGGCACAGACCTGCTTTTGTAGAAGGAAATGGGTCAAGTCACCAGTGGGGGCTTTCTTGATGGCCTTAAGGACCCTGTAGATTCCCAGTACAAGTGCATTTGAAAATTCAAGACCTGCTTGGGATGCACTGTGGGCCACCACGCTGTGGCCAGGCAGCTGCTGAGGCAAAAATAGATCCACATGCCCATCAACAGGATGTTTTTCAGCCTTTCTGGGGAACAGCGAAGGGGCTGTGAGTTGGGGGATGGGGGTGATGAGAGACAGGCACAAACAACTGTTTCCTCACAGACTTGAAGTCTTAAGGGGGTCCCTGCCTACAGCTAAGGCTGGCAGGGTGGGAGGAACCTTTTCCTGAGCTGTGGGGAAACAAATACCAGGAGGTCTGCAGCGGGTGGGTACCAGCTAGTCCTCTTATCTGTTGACTCATTACCTCACCTGGAAGTGGAAGATGCCTGCATAGTTCTCAGTGAAACTCTGGTCATGGGGTATGACGCGGAAAAGCAGGTGCTCGTTCAGGGTCAGGCAGGCGATGGCTGCGAGGAACCAGCAGTCCCCTGCAGGTGAAAGCAGGTACAGCTCTCAGGAGGGAACTCTCCAACCCAGCCGCTCTGCTGCTCTACAGAATGGGGGTCATCTGAGGCTCTGTCCTGCTTCCAGATCTGCCCCTAAAGAGGTGTTACCCAAGGGAAGGAGTTTGACAGCGGTCTGTTGATGTGCCACTGAGTGACCTACTCCCACGGGACTGATTTCCCAGGAAGTGGCAGGTAATTCCTCCATCAGTGACACAATCTCACATGCTCATGACCTCCATGGAACACCTCCATGGGGGGAGGGTGTTGGGCCACACCTGGTGGTGCTCAGAGTTTACTCCTGACTCTGTGTTCAGGGAGCTATATGCTTGAGATTGGACGGAAGGCTCAGTTGGACAAGGTGTCCCAATATCTCTCTGACCCCAAGAATCTTACCTTTTAGTATCCCCTTGATTATTTGGCTGGTCATAACCCAAAGACTTTCCTACCTAGATCTCCTTGGCAGATGTCAGTTCTGTTGGCTCCATCAATGATAAACCGGGGATTCTCACAAATCTCCTGTGAAACAGAAAGGAAATTTCAGTAGGGGTAGCACTGTAGCACTGTCCTCCCGTTGTTCATCCATTTGCTGGAGTGGGCACCAGTAACGTCTCACAACAAATTGTGAGACTTGTTGTTACTGTTTTTGGCATATTGAATATGTCACAGATAGCTTGCCAGGCTTTGCCGTGCGGGCAAGATACTCTCAGTAGCTTGCTGTGCTCTCCGAGTGGGGCGGAGGAATCAAACCTGGGTCGGCCAAGGAAAATGCCCTACCCGCTGTGATATCACTCCAGCCCAATAATACCCCAGTGGTTTGTACCCAGTAGTTTGTACCCCTACTGGGTGCAAACTATTATGTATTGTGGTCTGTTCCATAGTGCAGGCTCTATGTATCAGGAGTTTCACATTCTTATTTCAGTTTCTAAAACAGTTATGGTTAATTGAATACCATAACTTCTGTTTTTCAGGTAAGAAAACTGAGACTCAGTGAGCTTAAGAGACTTTCCCCCAAAATACACAGCTAGAGAGGCAGACAGCAGCAGGATGCCTGCCTTTCCTATGGCACTACCTGCACCCCCGCACTGTTCCACGTCTGGAGGATGTATCTGAACAGCTAGGGCTTTGTTGTGACAGAGGAAGTGGGGCAGAGTCAAAGTAGAAAACGAAATGATTGGGGGCAGGAAACACTAAGAAGTAAAAGGAAGTCCTTGGGCAAGTAGCTTCCTCTTTAGCCCCATCTGCACAGATGGCAGGAAGTAGGTAGCTCTCATCCACACAACATGTGGCCAGAACAAGGAAAACCTTGAGGACAAGGAGCCACTGGAGTGACCCTCGAGAGGCCCAGTGAAGATTACAGAGTAGCAAACCCAGCGAGAGGACATGGGATACAGGGTTCCCGCTGTAGATCTCAGACATGGAAGTCATGCACTGAATCCAGCACAGCGAGGAACAGGACCTGGTCACCATGCACTCAAGGTGTATGGGCAACGAGGGACAGAAGCAGGAAGTTGTATTCTGGACAAGTGTCAGCGAAGGGATAGATGGATAAAGTAGTGCATGGGCAGAGAGACCTGGACATTTGGTAGAGACCTAGAACCATCTGCTTAAATGATACAATAAACTATAGCTTCACAAGCATCTGAGTTTTGTGTGCTCATCTTTCATGCAATACTCAAGGGCTGACAAACTCAGGAAAACATTTTTTATCTTTTGCTTTTGGGTCACATTCTGTAGTGCTCAGGGATCATTCCTGGTGGTGGTCAGGGGAGCATATGGGATGCTGAGGACCAAATCCAGGTTGGCTGCATGTAGGTGCCCTAACTTCAGCCCAATTTATGCATGTGGGGGTGATAGTATCAGTACTGTCTCAGCTTTGACAAAGGAACAACAGTCATGCTCTTAATTCTGTGACAGAAGAAGAGATGCAGGAGGACAACTAAAGCCCTTTCTTCTAGAGATGTGGTAATACAGATAACTTAGAGCCAGCCTATGTTCCAGCGTTCACAGGACTCAAGATCTGAGGCAAACAGAATAATTGGGCTGGACCTCATAGACTACCTCCTCCTTAGGGGAAGTAGTTAAAAACTGAAATTCACCCAGTAGAGAACTAGGGTCTCCGAACTTTTCAAAAGTACAGATACAGGGTGCCCCACCCTGCCACCACTACTTATAGATGTTTAGGTGACACCACTTCACTTTTGTGTGTGTGTGTATGTGTGTGTGTGTGAGAGAGAGAGAGAGACACCAGGATATTCACAGGGTTAATCCTGGCTCTGCACTCAGGAATTACACCTGGCAGTGCTCAGGGGAACATATGGGATGCTGGGAATCAAACCCAAGTTGGCCGGGTCGGCTGTGTGCAAGGCAAATGCCCTACCTGCTGTTCCTGTCCCACCAACTTCACTTTTAAGAAAGACCAAATTAGTGCCATTGACCCTTGAATAAGGTTTTAACTGTGAGGATTCGTATAGACTTTCACCCTCTGCGTGGCTTTTGGAGCCACAGATTCAACGAGACAGGGAGGTTGGTTGGAGCCCACAGACAGGGAGGCCAGAGTAGGCTGCCCTGCTCAGTGCTGCAGCCAGTGTCTCTAACCCCTGAGTTGTTCAAGGCTGACCACACATTAATCAGAAAGCATCACTGTCATTAACCAATGTGTGACTGAATGAGTGGTCATCATTGTTGTGATTTATGCCGTTTTGGTTTCAAAAAGGCGTCACAGGGACAGCTGTGCTTTGGCACAGAGGGAGATCTGCATGACCAATGATGTGCAACTGATGGAGTCCAACAGAGGGTGCTCTTGTTTTGGTTTGGGTGTATCTTATGCTTTTTAATTTTTAACTTAAAAAATGGAAATAACTATAGACTCTGTGTTTTAGTTTTAATATCACTTGGTGGAGGAGGTTGGGGATACACTCAGTCGTAGTGCTACTCCGGGCTACTTCTGTCTCTGTGCTCAGGGGACTGACCATATGCATTGCTGAGGATCAAGCTAGTCAACTGAGTACAAGGCAAGCCCCTTAATCCCTGTTATTATCCCTGCAACACAGTGCCACCCCTTACCTTCTCCCCATTCTACAATTCAAGATACCCCAAGTGTATCCCTCCCATTCGATGTCTTACTTAGACCACACACACAACTCTTACAGGAAATCAAATGGAATATATTGACAAACCAACATCAGCTATTTGTAAAAGGTTACCAATAAGGGAGGGAAGGTCATGGGAATAGGGCTGAAAATAAATTTATTTTCCCTTTTGTTGTGGTTTCTATGACCAATTGTCACACACACACACACACACACACTTGGTGTGGTGTGCACCAGGGGTCACATACTTTGGTTGTGATGCTTGTGTACAGTGCCAGAGACGATACATTCCATATCTCTGGAGACCCCATACAGCTTAGCCAAACAGCAGAGCAAGGCTACACTCAGTGCATATGGGCAGAACCAGGGACCAAATAAACTCTTAGCCTCCTGTGTCCCAGGAAGGCACTTGATGCCAGAGTCATCTTTAGGATCCTCAAAAGAAATTTCTGAAGGCATCTGTCTGAAAATTGTTTTGGTTTAGGAACAATGCACATGCAAAGCAAGTGCCTTAACCTCTGTTCTCTCTCCAACCCTGGCCCACGTCAGTCATGATGATTGAAATAATATAAACACTTTCCAGGGCTGGGGGAGTTAGAAGGAAATCTATAGCACTAAATGTATTAAAAGGGTATATGAAGAGAACTAAGATCTTCTATACTCTCCAGTTCTACCTTGTAATACAAGAGCAGGTTTAAGTTAAACACAAGCAGATGAGAAAAGTAATTTTAAAAGGAGTTGAATCAACAAAAATGTAAAATTGGAAATAAAAGATAACATGAAATCCCAAAGCTGGAGTAAAGTCAGAAAGACTTTCAGATGACCAATATAAAAAATGAATGAAGGGTTATCATTACTAACACCACAGACCATGAAGGGGTAAGGCAGTAATGACTCTACCATCAGTCAATAATAACCCTCCAAAAGTGCAAGAATTGCATGTGTATTATTTTGTTGATAAATTCTATGATACATCCAAGGAAGAAATGGTTCCACTTTTCCATAATCTCTTTCAGGAAATAGTAGCAGAAGGAAAACTTTCTAACTCATCCTATGAAGCCAGTTTTACCTTAATACCTACACGAGAAAAAAAAAGATATTGCAAGAAAATAAGCTATAGACCTATATCATGTCCCTCAGGTGTGTCTTCACCACCTTGGGCTACTTCAGGGGGTTGCCTCCTTCTTGGCCTTGCAGTAGCTTCTTCCACACAGACCTGGGTTCAGCCTCTGAAGCTGTTCACAGTCGGGCCTAGTGCATGCAGGCGTGTACTCAATAGCTGAGGCAGCTCCTTAGCTCCATGATGAGCATTTCTTGTCATGGGACAATTATTTTCTTCTAAAAATTTTCAGAATTTTTGCTATCTTCTTCCCAGATTTGAAAATTCATATTTATTTGTCCTGGTAATATACTGTTTACTTAATTTTTCATTAAAAAATTGGGGAGGGAGGTTGAGACACACATGGTGGTACTCAGGGCTTACACCTGGCTCTGTGCTCAAGGGTCATTCTTAGGAGTGCTCAGGGGATATATGTGATGCTGGGGATCAAAGGCAGGTTGGCTGCACACATGCAAGCACCTTACCTGCTGTAGTATCTCTCCAGTCCCTGAGTTTATTTATTTTAAAAAATATTTTTGTTTCTGTGCCACACCTGGCAGTGCACAGGGCTTATTCCTGGCTCTGCACTCACATATCACATCTGGTAGACTCGGGAATCATATGGGGTCCTGAGTATCAAACCCAGGTAGATCATGTACAAGGCAAGTACTCTACCTGCTATATTATCACTCCAGCCCATGATACAATAAATATTTTTTTTTTTTTTTTTTTTTTTTTTTTTTAGTCAAGAGTAAATTTATTAGCAGTAGTAATTAAAACGGCATGGTATTGGGCTAGAAACAGACCTGCAGATCAATAGAACAGAGTTGAATATTCGATACAATAAATATTTAAAGGAAAAAATTCCATGGCTGTTTCAACACATGCAGAAAAAAATATATTAAAGTTCAATGATAATTGATGATTTCTAAAGAAACTATTAGCAAAAGGCTTTAATGATGAGTAATACTATAAATGAATCTATAATAACTCCATTCATTAGGATGGAAACACTGGGGAGGGGGAGATGACTCAAGGAACTGGGCTCATGCACTGTATTCAGGAGACCAAGGTTAAATTCCTAATAATATCTGGTTCCCCCCAAAACACTGGGAATGACCCCTAACACCTCTTTGTGTAGTACTGTAGCACTGTCCTCCCGTTGTTCATTGATTTGCTCGAGCGGGCACCAGTAATGTCTCACAACAAATTGTGAGACTTGTTGTTATTGTGTTTGGCATATCGAATACATCATGGGTAGCTTGCCAGACTGCTGTGCGGCCAGGATACTCTTGGTAGTTTGCTGGGCTCTCCAAGAGGGGCAGAGG